AGACACGAACGATAGGATAACCTATTAAGGTTATAAATGTCATAATAAAGATTATTGTGGTACAATGTGAAGTCGTCTAAATTACCCAAACGAGATGAAACTCAACACTTTACAAAAGTGAATTAATCAAGCATACAACTTTATGGATGACCACTTGCAATTAAACAAGAAGTGGTCATAAAGTCATATGCTTCATTTCTGACTCACCAACTTCTAGAATGCCGATCAAACAATTAAAGTGAGGTAGTCGAAAAGTGAGTGAGTTAGTGAGTTTAGTTTTACGCCGCACTCAGCAAAATCATATTCCAGCTGTATGGTGGCGGTCTGTACGGTAAAATAATCGAGTCTGGTGGTCATGAAATAGACAATCCAGTGATCAACAGTATGAGCATCGATCTACGTAATTGGGACACTGTGACATGTGTCAACCATGAAGTCTAGATCTACCATTTCTGATAGCCTGACCACCATTGATTCGGTTAGTCATTAATCCCATTTTCTTACTGACAAGCATAACGGAGTTACTGAAGATCAGTTCTAACCCGGACCTTCACGGGTATATTCGAAAAGATTTAATCTTGAAAGATAATGCCTTGTCAAAACAGAGTGCCAAGGGCGTGATTGAGTGAGTTTAGTTTTACGCCGCATTTAGCAATATTCAAGCAATATGACGGCGGGGGACACCAGAAATGGGCTTCACACATTGTACCCATCGAACCGGGTCTTCGGCGTGACGAGCGAACGCTTTACCCACTAGGGTACCCCACCGCCCCCAGAATGCTATGGGGCGACGGTGTAGCCCAATGGTGAAAGACCTGGGTTCGATTCCCCACATAGGTACAATGTGTGAAGCCCATTGTCGTGTCCCCCGCCGTGATATTGCTGAAATGTTGCTAAAATTGGCGGAAAAGTTAACTCACTCACTCACACTACAATGCTATGAAGTCACTCAGTAGCATAATTACTTTATCCACAACCCCGTTATATGTATACACATTATTTACTAGGTGGATTATATAAGTGTTAATACGTAATCCTTACTTTCATCCGTTTCTGTCGTGTCATTGTAGCCCAGATACACTTGTACTATATGCGAGTTCGAGATCTTCCGTGTTAGAATTTTCATAAATAATACAATTTTCATGCAAAACCTTGGGACATTCGCATATCCCAATATTAAACGGAAAAAAGACACAATTATATATCCAGAAAACAATTAAAATGTTTACTAGAGTATCAGAATAAAGTAAGCTCCGTCAAGTCAGTGTGTACATTGATATGGGTTCATGATAATATTCAATTCTGCAAAAGAGTTCTTGGACTGAGCAAGACCGCCTCCGTGGTGTAGTTGTTAGAGCGTCCGCCCGGAGAGCGGAAGGTCGCGGGTTCGATCCCCGACCGCGTCTTACCAAAAGACGTTAAAATATGGTAAAAATTTTGGTCCCTGCCTGGCGCTCGGCATTAATGGGTACAACAAGGACTGGTCGGCTCGGAGTCAGTATAATGTGTCTGAGTGGGGTATTCATGCTTCACTGCGGCATGGTATCTCAGTGGGCTAGCACTATAAAACCAGCTGAAGTCTGGGCTAGTACAAGCAGCCGCACATACCCATACACACGCATGCACGTCGTCATATGAGCGAAATATTCTCAAGCACGACGTTAAACCCAATTTAACCTCACCTCACCTTGGACTGAGCAAAGCTGCAGCGAACAACATGGCTCTTGGAGAATGTGGCAAAACCTACTCACAGCTAACTTATATGACAAAAGCTATCCAATTCTGGTGCAGATTTATCCAATTCTGGTGCAGACTTATCCAATTCTGGTGCAGACTTATCCATCTGGAACCTTCAAGACTCTCTTACCAATCCTACTATATAATTAAATCCATCTCTGATACAGGGCGTTATACTTAGGCTTCTAATATTAGAAATATGCTCTTTAAACTGGGATTTGTGTGGATACAACACGACATGGGAAACATTGATCTGTTCTTATTGGAATTTAAGCATCGACTGAAGGATAATATAATTCAGAACTGGCATACATCCCTACATGACAACTTAAAATGTTGCGACTACAAGATGTTTAAATCTCTCCTTCATGTTGAAAAGTACCTTACATGTGACAGGCAACCTTGTCTCATCAAGTATATAGTTATTCCGTTGCAACAGCTTCGACTTATTAATAGAATCTGGTCGTCATAAAAATATACCCAAGAGGCAAAGATTATGTGAAATGTGCACAACTAATAATACAAAGTTCATCGAAGATGAATACCATGATGAATACCAAGTATCATCATCTACGGAAGACATATATCAGCCAATATTTCTTTGAAAATCCAACTTTGCATAAATTTGCTCAGCTCATGCTATCCACTGAAATAAAAACAATCCAAGCTACAGCTATGTTCCTGTACAAAGTGTTCAACGCACGGCGTGAAACTTATGAACTTTAAAACTAAAATTAATGCATGCAATATACATTATCAATCGATTTCAATATTGTATTTTGGGCCCGAGGCCGTACACTGTATGCGTCTGTCTGTCTGTCTAAACGACAATAATAAAGAACCATAGGCTATTTCGTTAAAAATAATGAATCTTTTAAACATAGCCAGGGGTCTTAACGAAACAGAACTTATGCTGAATGTGAATTGGTACCGAGCGGTGAGCCTACGTCTGAGCGACGTTGACATAGACCAACGACTTATGAATGATTTTACTGCTGCTTCTTTAGCATTTCGCACAGCTATGCCTTGTGAATGAAGGGGTGCTGTTGGGGTAGCCTAAATTTTAGTGGTAACGCCAAAGAAGGTTCCCCACATGGGCACAAAGTTTGAAGCCCTTTTCTGGTGATCCCAGATACTGCTGGATTATTGCTAAATGTGGCGGAAAACCACACTCACTCACGCACTCACTCACTTGAGAGTGAATAAATAAGTGAGTATAATTTAACGTTCACTATCAACTATGTTTCATCAAAATCCGCATCCCACACATTAAAAGGGGCGCATCCGGGATTTTGGAGAAAAGGGGTGCACATAAAACATGAAGTCCGTAGGTTAGGGGGAGGTTTTCCTCAGGGAATTTTTTTTGGGGGGGAAGGGGTGAGGGGTTACACACACACACACACACACACACACACACACACACACACACACACACACACACACACACACACACACACACACACACACACACACACACACACACACACACACACACACACACACACACACACACAAGCCCTCTGGATCCGCTAGAAGGTAAAATCAAGAAATGTATATGGTTAGGTCATAATAAAAAAATAATGTTTTTTAATCATTATGAATTAGATCAGTCAATTTGTCATTTAGTTTGTGTTTTTTAAAGTGTCAGTAAGAAATAGAAATGCAGAACAAATCTTTGATATGTTGCAGATATTACATTTGTTCTTTTAGTCCTCGTAAGACCACAATATCCATTTCCTTGTTTTATTGCATTATGAGATAATAACAGAATTAAATATCGACGAACCTGTCGCTTAATTCAATATGTATCTTATAAATCTAATCATATTTCATCTCATTGGCTCATCTCATTGGGCGGTTAATGTTCACCCAGGGTTCACGTGATGCGCATGAAGGAGTATGCGCATCTTCCAACTGAGAGGAATGGTATAAGAGTCAAAGATCTGACTTTTATGACATTGACAGAAGGCAGTAATGAAACATTATCTCCGTTAAGTGTGACATTGACGTCAAGGAAATCCATCTGGAAAATCAAGTTAAGTTCTACACATCCATAAACTGTCCAACGCTTCTTCAGATTCACCGAATTAAAGTCCTTTCAGGAGACATAATCTAAGACATGTTGTAAGGTTTTTATTTTGATTCCGTTAAATTAAGTTAGAGAATGTTGAAAAAATTATCGGCAAGGAACTCTCCTAACAGTATGGCAAATGTTATTCTGAACTGTACAATTATTAACATGAAAGAAACGTTCAAAATAAGGTACCGTGTATAAGGAATGAAAGGTTTTGCCTCTTTTGTTTGCTTCACTCCTTTTCATAAGACTTCAGGGGCGGTGGGGTAGCCTAGTGGTTAAAGCATTCGGTCGTCACGCTGAAGACCCGAGTTCGACTCCCCACATGGGCAAAATGTGTGAAGCCCATTTCTGATGTCCCCAGCCATGACATTGCTGGAATATTGCTAAAAGACGCGAGAAGCCTAGCTTACTTACTCACCTATTTGCAAGGTTCGCCAATAATGTTCCTGAAATTGGGAGTAAGTGAGTAAGTAATTGTTCCTTACGCCGAAATCAACATCGTTGCAGTCACTCTACATCATCCTGTTATCAGTTCTGGGTCAGATGAAGCAGTGGTTGATAGCATGAGCATCGATCTAGGCAGAGGGAGCATGATGGTAGAAAAATCACCGAAACCACACACGTGGCCTTAGGATCCAATTTCGTACGCTCTTCTTTCCAGCACATTTCTTAAAGACGTGAGTGAGTTTAGTTTTACACCGTACTCAGCAACATACCAACATATCTGTCAGCTGCGACTAAAATATACTTCTTTGGATAGGCATGTTGTTCATTTCTCTTTGCTACAATGTGTGCTCTTATATAGTGCTACTGGGAAGCTACCCATGAAAACCAGGTAAGAATTGATCTTCATCAACCTCTGCTTGTGTTAAGAGGCCACTACCTGGGTCGGGTGGGCAGCGCACTCAGCAACATTCCCCCTCTATGGAGGCGGTCTGTAAGTAATCGAGTCTGGACCAGACAATCCATTGATCAACAGCATGAGCATCGATCTACGTAATTGGGATATGATGACATTTATGTCAACCAAATCAGCGAGCCTGACCACCCGATACCGTTAGTCGCCTCTTAGGACATGCATGGGTTACTGAAAATCAATATTTTAATTCTAACCCTGATCTTCACGGGTATCTTAAAGACGCAAAACCAAGTAAATGCATTACATTCAGAATCTACAAACAAGACGTCATTCAAAAGTGTGTTTATTATAAAATTCACAAAACCAGATGATAGACAAATATGTACATGTATATTCCATATCTGACCTTGACATGTTCTTTAACGAAGAAAGTCTTTCCGAGTAAATAACAGGTGCATAAAAAAATTGGCAAAGTAAGTCCAGCAAAATAACTGCACTCGACCTTGCCTTCGAAATTCACTGTCGAAAAATGCATCCTGGCGTTTTTTATCAATTACTTTATTAACAGATTCTTAATTTCAGAACCGTTCTTTTTTCCTTCCATCCGATTCCGTTCAGAAGAATAAACTTCAAAGTAAGCCAGCAGTGGAAAAGAGTAAATTAATCCTTTGACATATCATAAAAAAATATTTTCAATTCTGTTTCTAATCCACAGTTTCTTTATCACGCCCAGCCAAACACAATTTGAAAGATACAGTTGAGTTTCTTTTAAAAAACACAGAAATTTTAATTTGACCAAGGACTTTTTGAGAATCTGCGAGCCAAGTAATTAAAAAAACGTTTCTAATGGATTCAACAGAAGAAAAAGTTTAAATTGGTGAAATCTTTCTTTCTTGCTTTGTGGTTGGCAATATAAACGAAAAAAGGTTACACAACACAATGACAGCATTGCGTAAGACTTATATACCATTAAAAAAAGTAGGGGATATTCCATTTTGCGAGCATACCACGAATGCCAATGCCAATGCATATGAGAAAAGTAATATATATCCATACAGATGAAACATTTCCAAAGGAGTGGAATAAATTGTCACATTTTCCCTTAATTTCTCTTCATCATATGTTTCCTGCTTGGCTTCATCATTTGCATTTTATCAATCTTAAAATTCCAATATCTCCTACTGTTTTTGGATGGAATAATATATCCAACCGACACAACTTGCATCATCCTTGACCACTCGTCTCTTTCCGGTACAGATGACGGAAACACGCGAGTGGTGACGAACATATCCTGGATTTTGGAATCACAGCTTATTGGTAATATCCTTCTTCAGGGTAATACCCTTCGTTTTGACAGACTGGGTATTTGGCTGCTGTGCGCTCTTGGACCTCCTGTTTACTATGTACTGGCAGTACTGGTCTGAAAACAATACAACAAACATGAATTCGAGAGCCTTGTGTTGCTTTTTCGTTGAAATTAAATTCGTTGTGTATGCATAATATACTGAGGGAAAAAATAAGGGATCATATGAAAGCACAAGTGTTCCTTTATATTTTTCCAGGTTTCTTTCATGTGATACCTTATTTTTCCCCTCAGTATATCACCTGAATATTTCTTTATATTCTTGTAAAGTATCATACTTTTGAAATGCTTTCAAGAAACAGAATTCAAACTAACGTTTTTGTTTTGATAGGCGTAGGTCCAAAACAAATTCGACTTATTGTGTCCGAGTATTTACAACGAGCGGTTCCAGAAGAACAGTAGAATGGTGCCCACTCAGAAACGATTCCTGAGGTTAAGACATGCATATAGGGCTCCCGTTTTAGAAGGTTAATCTTTGCGCAAAGACACGTTAAGTACACGTTAAAGTAAAGGAACCATGATCGTCTAAACGCTGGGTTCGCTGAGATCGTTGCTACACATTGACGTGGAGCCTCAAGTACATACAAGACGTTTGGCATTCCCCAATAGCTACAACAGGGGATCTGTCAGAAGAAATAAGGTTACAATGAACTTGAAATTAATATTCATTTAAAAGCAACCCCATTATAGTCATACGTCCCATTAGTCAGACGTCTTAAAGAAACACATGTGATGGTTGATTGCTCTTACATGTGAACCCTTAGTACCTATGTAGGTAATGGAATGGCCTATATGAAACGAAACAAATTTAGCAAGAATTAGCACTTTTGAGTCATTATCAAAATTCGTGCATATTTCATGTAGGCAAAAATTGTAAGTTTTGTGCGCTTGTTTGGAGTATTCTGAATATACAAAACATAAATTATGCATTTTTCATATTTAACCCTTATCATTAATAGAAATTTCAGGAAATTGCGTCACTACCGTTACGATGAAAAGAAAAAAAATCAAAAACTGATATCATTAATGTACATATATATTGGAATATCTAGTTTTACAATATAACATGGCTAATGAGTTTTATAATTATATATTTATTGCTTAAAAGGGGCCAACAAGCCAAAACATCACTTTCATTTCTGATTTGCAAATATAAAGTAATATGTAGCAAAAAATTCAAAATGAGAGTATAAATTATTTTATGCTTAATTGAAGCTCTACTACCAAACATACTTGCACTACAAGTTCCAAATATAAACAGATAAATCAATCATAATTAAATAAGGAAAATGGTAATGTTATGGTATGTATAGTGGTATTATTGTTGCGGTGACACAATAACGTAGTGACATTTTTTTAATAATAGCCAGTTTTATATGTTTACTTTAAAAGCTGATTTAATGGAATTTATTAGTCAGATATTTCAGGATGTTTAAAGAATATCTAATAGACAAAAGATTTACTTAGATGTCTTTTCATACAGTATCCTGGTACCCCAACTGATGATGAATAAATGAAACACGCATTCACAACTTACAATCGTTATCGTTGAGATCCATCTCGAACACAAACGGTCCTCCATATAGTTCGCCAGATGTGAGGACATTATCTCCTGCAAATCGAAATTATATAATGAAACATTCATATGCATTCATGTACACAGAATTCTATTTGTACATTTGGTGAATGTCTTCTGACTTCAAATACACTGCAAATATCAATATCCCCTTTGACAGTTCTCCAGCATCCTAGGCTTATGGTAGGACGGTTTGTTTGTTTGTTATTTAACGCTACACCCAGCAATACTCCAGCCATATGACTGTCTTTCACTGACGAGTATGGACCAGACAGTCCAGTGATCAAAGCATGAGCATCAATCTTCGCAATCGGGATACGATGACTTGCGTCAACCAATTCGGCGAGCCTGACACATGTCATCATATCCCAATTACGTAGATTGATGCTCATGCTGTTGATCACTGGATTGTCTGGACCAGATTCGATTATTCATTACAAACCGCCTCCATAGAGCGGGGATATTGCTGAGTGCGGCGTTAAACAATTTGCAACAAACCAACCAAACCAAGTAACCAACTCTCCTGAACATGGAGTGAGTGAGTGAGTTTAATTGTACGCCGCACTCAGCAATATTCCAGCTATATGGCGGTGGTCTGTAAATAATCCAGTGATCAATATCATGAGCATCAATCTACGCATTTGGGAACCGACGTGTCAACCAAGTCAGCGAGCCTGCCCACCCGACCCAGGTAGTGGCCTCTTAACACAAGCAGAGGTTGATGAAGATCAATTCTTACCTGGTTTTCATGGGTAGCTTCCCAGTAGCACTATATAAGAGCACACATTGTAGCAAAGAGAAATGAACAACATGCCTATCCAAAGAAGTATATTTTAGTCGCAGCTGACAGATATGTTGTTTATGCATATTATTCCCATACCATTTATGTCGGCAAGTCCGAAGACCGTCTTGAGGTCATTCTGGTCCATCGTATGTCCGGTAACAAAGGCGAATTCCTTGACACTGACCACCCCATCGTCGTTGAGGTCATAGGCTGAGAACTTGTTAGGCATTGGCATGAGATGTCCGCTGTAGTCACTGCCCTGTTCATGTAGAATGTGTGAGTGAGTATGCTTTTACGCCGACTTTAGCTGCAATATTACGGCGAGGGACACCAGACATCGGCTTCATTATACCCATATTGGGAATCGAACTAGAGTCCCCGGCGTGACGAGAGAACGCTGGAACCACAAGGGCACCCCACTAACGAACGCAAGGGGACCACTAATTTTAGATCGTTATAACCACAGTTCGCTACACGTATTTAGACTCAAATATACAGCAAATGGCAGGGACAAAAGAAACAGTTCGTAAAATCCGTCATTTCGTTATAAGCGTGTTCGATACAAACGTAGTAATTGCAAGTACATATTACCTTTCTAATAGAACGCTTTCCTCTGTTGCAAAGTGGCACACATACGAAGGGACAGAAGTACATGCCGACCTTGTCTTCACAGAGTCGGGGACACGCAGTCCTGCAGCCAATGTTCATGGTCTCATTGACAGCTTTCAGACCAACATTAAGCAGATCTTTGGCCATGTTCTTTCCCATGTTTGTAAACTCCCGTCCGAGGTCCTGCCACATACTCCCCAGAAACGCTTGTGCTGATTGGCCAAACACAAGCAGAGTTGCGCCAATCAGGATACTGTTATACAACTTCATGGTGTCTGGAAAAATACAATCGTAAAAAAAGTAAAGGTTTTGGACAGTTCTTAATATTTCTATTACTCGAGCGGCTTAAGACAATACATGCTCACTCACTCAACCACTCCGACTTTGATTCTAAAGAGATATGTCGTACAAGAATGAGGGAAAAGTCAAGCTAATTCAACAATACTACATGACTTGAATGAGTTTGGTATATGGCCGCTTTGAACAGTATTATGGCGGCATAGCGGCTTAATGATCGAGTAGTGAGTGAGTTTAGTTTTACGCCGCTTTTATCAATATTCCATCAATATCATGGAGGGGGGCACCAGAAATGGGCTTCACACATTGACCTATGTGGGGATTCGAACCCGGATCTTCTGCGTGACGAGCGAACGTTTAACCACCAGGCTACCCCCACCGCCCCCTAATGATCGAGTAAGTCCAGCTGAAGCTGGATAGAGGTTTACATGTATCACAAACGAAGAATAATATTCAGGATGAATCGTACATTTGAACCCACGATCAGCGGATCCTGGTGCGGCTAAGAGACGCAGCCCTGAATTGAATTGTAGCTTAGACCATTACCTCACCATTGTAACCTCCCGCATTAGATCTTATTTTAAAAACACACGCATACACTGGCATACACAAGTACACGCATGCAATTGCACAAGGCTACTGTTCTGTTGTCGAAACACCAGTATCCTGATGCATACCAAGTTTTGCTTGTTTGTTTGTTTGTTTGTTTGCTTGTTTGTTTGTTTGTTTGTTTGTTTGCTTGCTTGCTTGCTTGCTTGCTTGCTTGTTTGTTTGCTATGTAACGCCGAACTCAGCGATGGTCAACCTAAATGGCGGCGGTCTGTAAATAATGAAGTCTTGACCAGACAATCCAGTGATCAACAGCATGAGCATCGATTTGTTTGGTTTGTTTGTTTGTTGTTTGATGCCACATTCAGCAATATTCCAACTATATGGCGACGGTCTAGAGTGAGTGAGTGAGTTAAGCTTTACTCCGCACTCAGCAATATTCCAACAATCCAGTGATCAATATCATGAGCATCGATCTACGCACTTGGGATACGATGACATGTGTCAACCCAGTCAGCGAACCTGATCACACGATCCTCTTACGAAACAGCATGGGTTGTTGAAGATCTTAACCCAGATCTTCACAGGTTTTAGTAGGAAGTAGTATAAAATATATTACAGTATATGAATGTAGTTTGTACAATATATACAACAAATCATTTACGATATCCAACAAAGACTTCACGCAGCATCAACAATACTCACTCTGCTTCTGGAGGGGTGTAACGACGTCGTCGTGTATGATGCTGTCCGAGGGTCCCCCACCAGTATATATACACGAGGGGCAGGTGCCCTACAACATGCGTGGGTGGCAGGTCATTGTAAATCCATGGGAAGAAGCTTGCCGTCAGTGACTCACAAACACGCACTCAGGCCATTATGAATTATATCTGTGTTTATGGTAATACGTGAGGTAGGATCAATGGTTACTTCAATTAATATAGGATATACATGTATTCCCCTATCAATTTCAAGATCTTGGATCAATGTTTACTTTAGTTGATAAAGGATATATTCCCCTACCTAATTCGAGAAGTAGGATCAATGTTTACTTCAATTAATATGTGATATATCCCCACTACCATTAAAATGATATTACCAATAGTTTGGATTTTGTTTTTTAACAATGTCAAGCACGCATTTGGTAATTCCGAGAAGTAGGATCAATGTTTAATTCAGTTAATATAGGATATATTCACCTCACCCTTTAGAAATAACATTTTAATAGGGATCTGCTATTTAATGATATCAAACACGCATCTGTGTAAACTATAAATGTGAGTTCATTGTTATATCTCAGTAGCACACTACACAGTACACCTTTATATCATACACTGACAAGTGTCTCCGACTGCCTTACACTGTCATTGGCTAGTTTGGTCATCAGAACCTTTATGACATCGCTTTTTCGCTGAAGATGTTAGCTTTTATGTAAATGTATATTGTTTTGTAGGCAGAGTAAAGAGGACGCGAAACAGTCAGTTTTGTGCCACGGCCTAGTACTCATCCTACGGCACGTCACACCTGTCTAACACCATCTACTTCACCTGTCAGTTTTCGTCACGACGTGACATGGGTGACAAGGTCATGTGCCAACTGTGACATACGAGCATCTTCAAGACCGGTAAAAGAAGACTCACTACTGTTGTTGCGATTATCGCCCTGCCTCCCTCTGAAAATAGTAAAATTTACATTACTATCTGTGGGGAGTAGGTTTGCGGGAAGGAATGTCGATCTTTGTGCTGATTGGTCAAATTGTGTAGTAGCTACACCAATGGGAGCTTTGATTTTAAAAAAGGCTACTAATACAGGTCAAATGTTTAAGAATACAACGCAAAACATTCCGTGATTTTCTTAAAGCTAAAAATAGTGAGGTGAAATGTAAAACGGGATTTTATGTATCTAACAAATAATATGTGTACACATGCATAACAGAAAGTATCACAAACAGTAATGTCGTGTGCTAAACAGAATTGAAAGATAAGCGACACAGCAACTGAGGAACAATTACGTATCATATCACGCTGGTAATTATGTATATTGATAATAATAATAATCAATAATATTGGTTCACTTATAATGCGCCTTTTCTATGTACAAGGCATTGGCGGATCCAGAGGGGGGGTCAGGGGTTCGACACACACACACACACCCTTTTGAAAATCAGACTTAAAACCACATTGAAGGCTTGTATTTGGGGAGTTCAGGGGGTTCAGGGGGTTGAAACAAGCCAAGCCAAGTATCACATGTGTAATAATTTACAGATACACCGATGTATTACTCACAACAGATTATTAAGTTTATGATGTATTATGAAGTTAGGCGGAGACTTTTATATGTTGCAGACACCGATCGAAAAGTTGCTGATGAATCTGTCACATGCAGAATAATTTTGTGTGCGAAGTAACACTGGTCGTAGTGCAACAATCAGGATGAAAGAGATATATTGCTTCATTTTGTGCCTACTACAGTAGAACATTTTTTTTCTAAAACGTAGGCAGGATCATTTGTTCGTTAAACGAATGTCAATAAACCATGAAGCAATTTGGGTATAGTTTAACTGCATGGACGTGGTCGCCAAACTGGGGAAAAGGGGAGATAACTCTCGTTTACTGCCCTTGACAGCGGAAGTGGCAGATCAAACTTCACGCCGTTTCAGAATAACGTCATGTACAATTACATTTGAACGTTTCACTAATCTAACCCTTTACTTCATCTCTCAACTATAGGCGAAGTGATTGTATACTCTTATATTATGGCCGGACCGGTTGGTGCCTGGCCCGTGATTCTGCATCAGTCGCTGGAGAAGAGCGAAATCAGTCGACTTCTGCGACAAAAGAACTTCAAAATTCGAAGTAAGTGAGTCCTTAGTCATTAAGTAATTCCCGTGCGACCATGTTGAGGAACTCTGGGGAGGAGAACGCCCACATATGTATGCGTGTGTGTGCGTTCGTTCGTTCGTAAGTTGTTCAGGTTTCATAGTGCTTTCCTACAACTTATCATGTTTAACATGTCTCGGACACACAGTAGTGACAACAATCCGACCAGTTTTGTTTTATACCCTCAATACAGTGTGCCAGGCAGGATAACAACATTAAATACCATGATGAAGCCAGGGAGTCGAACCACCCACATTTCCATCACTGCCAGACGCTCTGTCCACAAGACCAGACTGACGGTAATTGAAAGTCAGGGATGTGCCTGACAAAAATTCGCGCCTACTTGGAAATCAGTCATATCACTTAACTATAATGTGCATTACATATTCTTTAAAGATTCAGAGAGCGTCACCAGCAACAGCATCATCTTCCCCATGTCGGGTGTTGCTTTTATGATCCTAGACCTCAAAGACGTCATCAGGGACAGCCCCGAAGGCGGCACCAGGACAGAGGTGTGGGAAAGGTGGGGCCGCTTGATGTCATCAATATAGTTTCTTCCTAGCAGCTGATTCTAAATCCGCATGACATATGCGTCAGGTTTATATCATAAGCACAAATGATATAGTATACTTTACTGGTGTGCATAGAAATATAGGCAAGTGTATATAGAGCTTGAGCACTTGTGATAAACGTGTATGACATGTAAAGTGATAAATATATAGAGTCAAAATACAGTAATATATTCATCATCATATGGAAGGGGCGTAAATCTATAATGTAATGCACAAGTACTGACGGTACACCTATTCTATTTTGTATATACATGTATATGCATTTCTTCTAAACTGGAGATACTAATGAGAATTGTTACTCCGTGGTGGCTTTATACCCACTATATACTGTGTTACCCCTGTGGACATGATTCAGTGAATGTTACACAGTGTTTCATGGAATCAGTGTAGTTTTGCTGTTTTCTTTCATCAAGTATTGACAAGTTCGTACAAGTACACCGTCGCTGTTACATCCTGGCTCAAGCTCCATGCCATGCTGAACAGGAACAGTGTGTCTTCTCCGCCATACAAGAGAAGTAAGTGTTAAAATGTTATGGATAATTTAACACTTGTTTGATAAGCACATTTACCCCGACCTTCCTATTACATGGGTCCAAGGTTAATGTCCATGATATGATACGTACATGTTTTATTCTCGGTATCCATACAAAATGATAAACTGCTAAAATATTACTTATTACTCTTTCAGTGACCCCCGAAAGGTCAGTCAAGCATTACCAAAATAAAAATATATCTTTTTCTTTTGAAATTGCTCTTATAGTTATAGTCGAGAAGTTTCGTAATAATGTGTATCACGATACGTATCGTATCATTAGGAAATTAACCTACTGTGTTTTGAAATTAGAGGTAGTATAACGGAATTATGATAGCTCTAAATTTAATTTAAAACCGAACGCATGTCGGTAGTGTGATAAAGGTTAACCTGATTGTATGACTGAGATAGAGTGTTTGATATCTAATTATTGCTACCTTGCAAAATTTAAGAGTTGAGGCGCTTTTGCTGAGATGAGGAGTCCGAGTTGTACAAATTTAGAGACTGTTAAAGTGTGTGCCCTGTCAACTTCAGAATTTCACGCACCTCTACGACTGCATGTGACAGAAGACTCACTGTGGTGCATGGCTCTTACACGCTCATTTGTGTACTTTGTGCTAAAATTCGATTCTTCCCATATCATTTTCAATATTCTGGAAAGTGTGTTGTGATCTAGTGGCTTCCAAGTGGACAAAATTCATATCGTGATACATATGGTATTGTGACGTATGTATGTGATACATATGGTATTCTCGTATATCGTGATGCTTTGTATGGTGACCTATATATCGTATCGTATTGAGACCGTACTGCAGCCTTTCACTCTTACTTATGCCTATAGTGGTTAGAGCGTCCGCCCGGAGAGCGGAAGGTCGCGGGTTCGATCCCCGGCCGCGTCTTACCAAAAGACATAAAAACATGGTACTTGTTGGTCCCTGCCTGGCGCTCGGCATTAATGGGTACAACAAGGACTGGTCGGCTCGGAGTCAGTATAATGTGTCTGAGTGGGGTATTCATGCTTCACTGCAGCATGGTATCTCAGTGGGCTAGCACTATAAAACCAGCTTCAGTCTGGGCTAGTACAAGCAGCCGCACATACACATACACAGGCATGCACGTCGTCATATCAGCGAAATATTCTCAAGCACGACGTTAAACCCAATTTCACCTCACCTCACTTATACCTATAATAAAGTCGTACAGGAGACGTTGGCTTTGACTACGTCCTTCCGATTTCCAGGCTATTCATCCAAGGATGACACTTTGCATACATCAACACCAAATAACAGTATTTTATGGTAAGCATGTTGGCTGTGGGTATTCACTTAACCTTTCCATTTCCCCAACTGACTAGGCTGGAAACATGTATTTGCACGAGCCCTAAAGTCTGATTAGCTGTCAGCCCAGCCAATTCTCTGTGGCAGGAGATATCGATGAACGTGTCTTCTTGTCATGCCGAGAGATGACTGCTATTTACTAACGCTTTCGAGTAACAAACAGCAGTGGTATATTTTACATGGACAACATGTTTTATTTGTACAAGATGTTTGGTCCCGTTATTATTCTGTGTATCCATCATTCAAAGATATCAGTTGCGGTCTCAGTGTTCAGGCCATCCAAACAGCTAGCACACCGACTGTGCTACGTCTAATTATTGACTAGTTGGACCCGTGAAGATCCCGGTTACAATTGGCGTTCTGCAACACATACATTGTATTTGTTGTAAGAAGCGACTAACGGAATCGGGTGGTCAGGCTCACTGACTTGGTTGACAAATGTCATCGTATCCCAAGTGGGTAGATCGACGCTCATGATGTTGATCACTGGATAATCTGGTCCAGCCTCATTAATTTACAGACCGAAGCCATATAGCTGGAATATTGCTGAGTGCAGCATAGAACTAAACTCACTCACTCACTACTATTCATGTGTTTTATTGCGTTTCAGATATATGACGAGTCCTCTACAAATGATCCCAGTCCACACGCCTACAGAGAGCATCCAAGCTATGTTGAACATTGCCAAGGTATTGTCTTATGAGTAGTTGATCTCTTTGAATCGCTAGCAAACTTTGACTGTGGGCTTGAATCCCACGTTCACCATGATAATGTGTTAAGGTTTGGCAGTACCGGAGAAGTGCATGTGAGTTAGTAGACCAGAGGTACAGATAAGCTGCGTATCGGCGTAAATTACGCAAATAATTATGTGAAAACGTAATTCCTTTTCTACAAGTACGCTTGAATGTTTGTAAATACTCTATAAATTTGATCTTACATGCGTACACACAAAAATAGATAAAATAACAGGTATATTGAGAGGGTCTATGTGAGCACTTGAACTTGGCAACTTGCATTCTTTCTTTTCGTATCTCATATTACAGATCAAATATAAATAACAACATGTAAACCAACATTTAAGCTATATTATAGTTTTACAATAAATGGAAAATTGCAAAATGCCCAAATGAGATTGAGCGAGGTGGGTACAATTTATTTGGTTACCCATAGGAAAATTAAGATACCAAATCGAGATGAACACAAGCGAGTACATTACTCAGTGACCAAAAGGTTATCTGTAACTCTGTAGACCTACATTGTTCCGGCGTTCTCTCAAATCAAACTGACACCCAGTGATGTGACTGGAATGCTGTTCAAAGCAACGTTAAGCCAAACTTACAACAAAACTTACTCTCACAGTGAGTGAGTGAGTTTCGTTTTACACACACTCAGCAATATTCCAGCTATATGACGGCGGTCTGTAAATAATCGAGTCTGGACCAGACAATCCAGTGATCAACATCATGAGCATCCATGTACACAATTGGGATACGATGACATGTGCCAACAAAGTCAGCGAGTCTGACCACCCGATCCTGTTAGTTGCCTCTTACAAGCATGGGTTACTGAAGATCAATTCTGACCCGGATCTTCAGGGGTTACTGACACAGAGACAATGGTCATGTAAAGTATGATTAGGGCTGATGAATTTGGTCTGTAAATAATTAAATCTTGGTTAGACCATACCAGTGGTTGAAATTATGATCAACACAGCTGGGATACCATGACATGCATCACCTATTTTAAATATACAACAACAAAAGCTAAATCTATCATATACATGTATAAATTCAATAAATGAATAAATGTAATTTGAAAGATGTTTACTGTTGCAATACAAACATCTTTGGGGCGTGGGGTAGCCTAGTGGTTAAAGCCCTCGCTGTTTACGCTGAAGACCCGTGTTCGTGTTCGAAGCCCATTTCTGGTATCCCCTGTCGTGATATTGCTGAAACATTGCTAAAAGCGGCGTAAAACCATACTCACTCACTTTGAAATTTACATCTCTGCTCCTTAACGAATAATTATTAGGGCTGTGCAATATAAACGGTTTACTGGTATTTACCGGTTCAGACATGAAAACGATACGTATTGCGATACGCTGATTGAAAACCGGTATTTTGACATGCATTCGGAAAACGTCGTAACACTCGGAAATCTTCGGATATTTCCTTGTTTCATTTGTGCCAAATATTATTCACATTTTTATTTTATCATGATTAAAAAAAGTTATTAAAGCTTAATCAAGCATAGTGATTTTGTTGTGTTTTTGCTCTATAAATCAAGCAGTAACTCGATTATAAGTAGTTTTTTGTTTAAAACTACTTCATGCAAAATATTGCAATGCATATCGCAATACATGCTTTCGCATCGCCATATATCGCAATATGAATATTCTCTGCAATACCCACCCCTAATAATTATAATAAGTAGCTTTATGACTAAGCAGTCTCCGACAGTGTTTATCCGTACCGTGTTCCTAGACGAAAGGCTGCAGTAATGGGAATCCTGTTTAATAAAATAACATTATTGACGCACATTTACCGCATCAAGTATAGGTGTCCCCAGGTGGTTTCTAGTAAAAGCTGATGTCGCTAGAAGCTGTGAATGCCTGACTCTGACTAGACTGCGCGTCGTCGTATACCGCGCACACGGGACGTTATCATAACATCAAACTCAGGTTTGTCTGGAAGGCCATCGTTATTCAGCTGGAATATCAAGAACTGCGGCGTTAAACAAACAGCGAAAGAGTGGACTGTTTGACCAAGCCACTTGTGTTGGTACCACGGTCTTCTCTCCATCACAGCCGTAGTCACAGCTTGTAGGCTGTGTGGAGCTGGGATACAGTAACTTATTTACTTCATGTGCCAGTATATTCTAGACAGCATGAGTGAGTGAGTTTAGTATTACGCCGCTTTTAGCAATATTCCAGCAATATCACGGCGGGGGATACCAGAAATGGGCTTCACACATTGTACCAATGTGCGGAATCGAACCCGGGTCTTCGGCGTGACGAACGAACGATTTAACCACTGGGTTACCCCACCGCCCCTAGACAGCATGAAGATCAGGTGAGGACAGATCTTGGTTGTCGTTATACTCAAAAACCCACGCACCCCACTCACTCACTCACTCACTCATGAATCTGTACACCAATGTCCCCCTCTCAGTTAGACACCTAGGGCTGTGGGGTAGCCTAGTGGTTAAAGCCTTCGCTCGTCACGCTGAAGACCCGGGTTCAATTCCCCAAATGGGTACAAAAAATGTGTGAGGCTGATTTGTGGTGTCCCCCGCCGTGATATTGCTGGAATTGTACTAAGAGTGGCGTAAAATCAAACTCATTCATTCACACATCTGAACTCAAACCTTAACAACTCAACAATTATGTCTCCATCGACCAATCCTCTCATTCACCGAACCCGTAGAGATCTGGATTAGAATAAATTATTGGTCTTTAGCAAAACATGCTTATCGTAAGAGGCAACTATTGGTATCTGGTGATAGGCTCACTGACTTGACTGATGGTGTCATGGTATCCCAGCTGTGTACATCAATGCCTATTACATCAATTACTGGGCTGTCGGGACGAAACTCGATTATTTACAGACCGCTGTTGCTATTGTGACCAACAAACAAACAATTACACAGCATTTTCTGCTGAACTTACTACGAGTAAAGACATTGTTCAAGGGCAATAGCTATTTTGATTATTTTTCTCTATATATACAAAGGCAAATAGAACATCAGCCTGGGTGGCTTATGTACCAGTTGGTATAGTGTGTAACTGTAACTGCATGTTACTTTGATGGGTAAAATGTATTCCTTTGTTTAATATAGGAGTACTGGAAAATCTTAAGTGTACATGTAAAGTACTGAATGGAAATTAATTGACTATCAGTAATTTGTGTTTCGTTTCATGTATGCATCACAACATTGATTCTTGTGTAAACAGGTCAATGAACAATAAAACAAGACTTTTTCAGATAAATACGTTTGTAAATGATTCTAAGACCGTACACCATTGCTGTGGTGCGTATTTGCTACGTTTTCTAAATTATTTCCTACCGTATCGTGCATATTTTTTATTCGTACATACGCCGATACGGCCCTTATCTGGAGCCCTGTTCTATATATTAAGCGTATCTTTTAAGCCACTTCGAATTTGAAAATTTGACAGGTATGGAATCCAAGTTCGAAACCTGTACATTGACATCAGGCATGTCAATTGGGATATAGATCTTTTAGAGGTATCGAACGTGACCAGTTATTGAATTGAATATTGATCTTTTGTTCATAATAAATAAACTGTGAAAGAAATAAAATCGAACATGTTCTTTTTTCAGTTATTGTGTAAGCCAATGGGAGAAGTTGTGACAAGGCGATTCCAAGGTCTCCTCACCCAGCAGTTGTCAGGGGACGTCACGGGCGCCGCCCTGACTCAACTGGGCCTCACTGAACCCCGTATCCTTCAGCTTACAATGCAGTGATGGAAGGAGGCTAGACTAACGCCTAATCTCTGGATATATACTCACCCATCAAAAGTTTAGACTCACTAGTGTAAAATGTAGCCACTTACTTCAGTCAACTGTTCTAAACTAGATTTTGCAAAATATTCTGTACAGTTTATGGGTACTGTTTACACATGAACTGACGTATTGTAAAACAAATTCGTAACGTTGAAAAGATTATTGTCATGAGTTCAATAAATGATGAAACTCAGTGAAAATTGGCGAAATCTTAACAAAACTTTACACCAAAACGTAGCTGTTCACATGCACGATATTTGCACATGCTTTTCAGCAATTTGATGCATGAGCCTCGTGCAATTCATCTGCATATAGTGTGTGCTTTAAGTGAGTCTAAACTTTTGATGGGTAGTATATATAATTCTGATAGAAACAAATAATTCATTTCAAGTTGAAAAGGAGCATCATACAGTGTGATGGGAGATTCAGAACCCGAGGAAATCTAGACTTGCCTCATTTGGGGCTTTATCATTGCAGAAAGGTATTGGCGGAAGGGAATATAATGCGGTTCGGGTTCGGGGTCTTTGAGACAGACAAGAAGGAAACCTGTACAGCCAAAGGTGAACTATTTCACGGACTAGAGGTTGTGGCCCTTTAAGGACAGTGTTTCGGTTCCAACACAGACAGATATAATATTCGAGTCTCCAGAATATATACAGTTGTCATTACACGTCGTTAAAGCGTGCAGAGGCCATTCCATCGGGATTAGGGGCGGTGGGGTAGCTTAGTGGGTAAAGCGTTGGCTCGTCACGCCGAAAACCCGGGTTCGATTCCCCACATGGGTTCAATGTGTGAAGCCTATTTCTTGTGTCCACCGCCGAGATATTGCTGGAATATTGCTAAAAGCGGTATTAAGCTAAACTCACTCACTCTAAACGCCATTCAAAGACAAGAGCTTAAATGTCAACATGTTTTACAATAATACATGCCTTCTGACTTGAGTACCCCTCGGTGTGAAGCGTGAAAATAGCACAATATTACATGATGGTTTCTTAAACAACTTCGATCATAAAACGTCAGATTTCAGATCCTGTTAGGTACAGATGTTTCAGGACCACGTGTCTTATTTATGTTTTGTGCACTTATCCCTATTTCGAGTTATTTAATCATTCATTGTTCTCATTTGAACCCGAACGGACTATGTGTACACGAGTCTATAGCACGCGCACGCACAAACCACTTCATAGATGTATTGCAAAGGTATTCCTCTTCCTTATCCTCATCAGAGATTCAGTCTATCCTTATCCTCATCAGAGATTCAGTTTATCCTTATCCCCATCAGAGATTCACTCTATCCTTATCCTCATCAGAGATTCAGTCTATCCTTATCCTCATCAGAGATTCAGTTTATCCTTATCCTCATCAGAGATTCAGTTATCCTTATCCTCATCAGAGATTCAGTTTATCCTTATCCCCATCAGAGATTCAGTTTATCCTTATCCTCATCAGAGATTCAGTTTATCCTTATCCCCATCAGAGATTCAGTTTATCCTTATCCCCATCAGATTCAGTTTATCCTTATCCCCATCAGAGATTCAGTTTATCCTTATCCCCATCAGAGATTCAGTTTATCCTTATCCCCATCAGAGATTCAGTTTATCCTTATCCTCATCAGAGATTCAGTTTATCCTTATCCCCATCAGAGATTCAGTTTATCCTTATCCTCATCACAGACTCAGTTTATCCTTATCCCTATCAGAGATTCAGTTTATCCTTATCCCCATCAGAGATTCAGTTTATCCTTATCCCCATCAGAGATTCAGTTTATCCTTATCCCCATCAGAGATTCAGTTTATCCTTATCCCCATCAGAGATTCAGTTTATGCTTTTCCTCATCAGAGATTCAGTCTATCCTTATCCTCATCAGAGATTCAGTTTATCCTTATCCTCATCAGAGATTCAGTTTATCCAGGATGGAATAGGGAACCTGGCACAGCTGGCGACCGCCTCTCGAGACGATCTCCTCAACTGCAGTCTAGATACAGACACTGCAGACAGAATACTGGACATGTTTCATAAATAGGCCGCTGTGTGATCAGTGATAAGCTGTATTTGTCTCATGTTTATTTAAAGTGGAACTAGGCTCCGGTCAATTGGCAGCCTTGAGGTTAGATTCAAGATCGTCACATCTCACTTAATCTGTCTGCAAGCTTAAATTGTGTGATGCTGATCGATCCGGCTGTCAGAACGTACCATTATTACACGGACACAATGACCTTCATACACAGCACATATTTCAACATCAAGGCGTTGCATGATCATGGAGTGGGGACCTTTCCTCAAGTCACTGTCAAAGTTGTACAGAATAAACGGCTTCCATGGATGAAATATTGTTTTGTGTTTGTCAGATACTGCAGTCAGAAAAATTCCAGCTACGTGGCGGCGGTCCCTAGGTTTTGTGTCTGAGCCAGACAATGCAATGATTGCAAACTTATCATCGATCAACACAACTGATATGAGATGACATGCGAGTCTAACCACCCCGTCCACTTAGTCGCATAGGACTGATGTGGGTTTGCGTGGAATTTATTTTCTGAACTTTTTCTGAGCTCTGTAACGAATGTAGTCATGAATTCGTGGTTTAGGATAAGCCCTAAATGGAAAAATGTTTTGCGACTTACTCTAAGTTTAAGTCCTTTGAAACAGATGAGAACTGGAGGAAGATTTGTATTACATTTTATTGGTGAAAAGCAGACATGTCTTCGAAGAATTCTGAAACCGGTGTTCGCACGCAGTAAAGGTAACTCATTTGAGTTAACACTCGGGCAGATTTGTATTACATTTTTAATGAAAATCTTACCATCGCGGCTTTTATCTGATTTCAAACTTTCCCTATGACTCATTTTCACTTTAATCTTAGTTACTAATCACTCCCGAACACACAGCTTACCAAACAACATCTTCCAGCGGAAGCTCGTCCACTCAAGAACTGTCAGAAACTCTTGCATAAATACAGCTGTAAAGGTTCCCAGTGGACACGACGTCATGGCGTCGATTGGACTTTCTTTCAGGTGTACAGAATATGCATTACGACTTTTGAAACATATGAGCTATTTCCAAGTTAGTATTCTTAAACCGCTTCCAAGTATTTCGAGTTAAAGAGTTTTCTGTGGGATTATTGTATCTATATTCTTGCTTATGGGTTAAAGCTGATACAGCACCGCGTCAATACGGCGCCAGGCTAGCGTAAAAAACCTTGGTTTGACAAAAAGGCTTCGGTGCGTGCTTCCTACGTACACGTATATACAGAAGACAGAATTCCACGACAGTATAAGTACGTCATATATTTTGCAATAGGTCGTCACACATCTAAGTGAGTGAGTTAACATCTTACGTTGCATCAACAATTTTGCGACTCCACACCTGAGAAATCAGATAGTATACCAACCCTTACCATAATTACCAGTCATCACCAGACCCATGTGCCACGTTTGGGGAAGAAATAATAACGGTTCTAAAGTTGTACTCCACAAAAGAGCACCAAGACCAATTTCAGTCGAAGTCAAACTTGTTGCCATAGAAACTTAAAACATTTTACTCAGAAATCCAAAACTACCAAAAGGAACCAATTCAGACCTATCTATGTGCAAAGTTTGGTGAAGAAATAAAAAACGGTTTGTTCTAAAGTTCTGCTCCGGAAAAGAGCACCCAGACCAATTTCAGTCGAAGTCAAACTTGTAGCCATGGAAACCTAAAAAATATTTTATTGAGAAATCCAAAACTACCAAAGGGCACCAGTTCACTACCAGACCTATGTGCCAAGTCTGGTGATGCAATAATAATAATAATAAGTAATAATGTGTATGTTAAGTGTATGAACAATAACACTGACAAATATATACTTGCATGCTGATCTGTCTTACCTTTATACACCTGGGAATGGTGAACTAAGTGCTTTCTGGCCAACAATGCGTGTCCTGTCTGCTGATTCTTTAGATGACTTTATTAATGGTTGATAACAAGCTGGATAAATACGAATTTCCCTGATATGCCTTTCATCTTTATCTTAGAGATGAGAGATTACAGGTAGCGAGTATAACCTGTAACAGTAATGTCTCCCTTGAGAAGAGAGCGGATGGAAACGTTCCGCTGAAAGGCTAATGGTAAAGTCACCCCAACCTTGTCTTTGTGTACTATCTGTATAGTATAAGTGCTATTCAGTTTGTTTTCCCTATTTTCTTTCTGTAACATAGTGTTTTAGAAAACCAACAGCAGCCTCCATCATTATCCATTGGCGTTTCTGTTGGCTACGGGATGTATAACAATATATACTTTTGAACAAATCTTTGGTGTGACCCTAACCTGACATATATATGAGTGAGTTAATGATGTTTTTCGCTACATCAGCAATGCTGCAGCTATTTGCGGCTAAATTGACATATATTGCCCCTGTTCCATCGGATTACATTAATACAGGAAAGTTGTAGATTCGGAAAATGCATCCCTTTGTTGATGGGTTGAAAGATTTTAAAATTAACACAAAGTACATTGATTAAGCGAATCACAAATGTGCGGAATAGGGTCAAGATGACCTTGATAGAAATATTGCAAACAAAGTAAGTTATGTAGATACCTATTTTTAGGTTTATCTAATCTTTCGGATTCCTAGCAACCAATGATAGTGTTATTGGGTCACGTTGTCCGGCTCCATGATAACGTACCCCAATGAGATGAACTGTTGCTTATAGCAGTCAGTTGATTGTCTGGTCGAAGTTGGACAATGTAGAGGCGACTGTAGAACTAGCTACGATATGAATATAACTAAACAATCGGTGCATGTACATATTTGTTTGCTTATTCGTTCTCATCAGATTACCGTTTCACATAATCATCGTTGCATTCTCTATACAACTGAACATAATGAATTAAACGGAGCGGGTAGCCAGGCTCGCCGACTTGGTTGACACGTTTGTGTGTGAAAGAGAGAGTGTAGTTTTACGCCGCTTTAGCAATATTCGAGCAATATCACGGCGGGGGACACCAGAAAGGAACTTCACACATTGAACCCATGTGGGGAATTGAACCCGGGCCTTTAGCGTGGCGATCGAACGCTTTAACCACTAGGGTACCCCACCGGCCCAGGTTGAGACATGTCATCGTACCACAATTGCGTAGATCGATTGATGTTCATGCTGTTGATATCTGGATTGTCTGGTCCAGACTCGATATTTTACAGACCGCCGCCATATAGCTCGAATACTGCTGTGGCGTTAAGCAACACACAAGCAAGCAAGCAAACGCGAATTAAAACGAGATTAGTTGAAAATAGTTTATTATGTTCCAATCGTTAAAATAAAATGTTGATGAAAATGTGGATACACATAAAAGAATATGAGTTTTCAAGAACGAAACAAATGAGCACAAATACGTGATATTACCAGGAAAGCATATCTGACCAGGAATGTTTACATGTATAAATGTACAACAAAAAGTCACCGCCACATTTCCTCCTTCAGGTACTGAGCCATAAGCTGTCCACTAAATAGAAGACATGCGTCTATTAGAACCCGGGTAATTAAATATGATCGTTTATCGCAAGCGTACCCTTTGTGTGACTGTTTTCGGGAATCGGTTAGCTGTCCCGTGTCGGGAAAAACAGAACAGACATGGACATTGAAATCAAGCTGTATGCGACGAATTCCATTTTTTACTTATGTCCATCTCTTGTTGAACAACGAAAAGCCTTTTTACTCAAATATTTCTGTGAATCCCTCAATCTGTAAATTTATTTTTCTCATGAAATGTTATTATCAACCACTCATCCTCAAATCATCCAAATATATAAAACACAGTTTGTGCCTCTTCAAATGTTTTTGAGAATAAAATTCTGTTCTGTTCTTCCAGGGCCCTTATTCTCGAAACGTTCGAAGCCCTAAGAATTCTTAACTTTGTTCGTAGCCAATGTGTTACGAAAAGGGCTTAAGAAGTTCGTAGGGCTGCGAACGTTTCGATAATAGTTTGCCAGGACAGCAGGTCAAGTGCTTGCGCAGAAGCTGATTGACGCCTCAGCTTCTAATAGAGGAAGTACGGTATGGTTTTACCCTTCAGTAAACTTATATCACAGGACAAAAGGACAGGCTTAACAGCGCCGGAAACAAACGTTCAGTGTCAAAGCTGACAATGATTAAACTGATTGTACACCGAGCTTCATAATACCGGTGATCAAACAAATGCATATTCCAATATATACAATACATTTAGCGTCACGTTTAACAGTTATATACATGTCGACACTACAACATTAAATCAGTGACTACACAAGAATCAGCCATTATGAATGTTATGAATAACAAGTGGGTGACTGGTTTGGTGCCACTTGTAACAACGTTCACGACATCAGCTACAGGGTTTACACATAATACGCCTGTGGCTGATCGTGCCTGGTCTCCGTTTAACAATCTAGCTTTAACAAAGAGGTAACCCCACTTCCTATTAACAAATGACTATTTTGTAAGTATTGTTTTCCTTTCAGATTGCTGACATGTTTATTCAACATTTTCTGATGGTTGCCATTATATTTTAATATAATTAAATGACATATCACCCGGACTGGTGCAATTCATAAACGCAGTTCGTCTACTAACACTCCACTTTTGCTCCATTGCCACTACATGTACATACCTCCCGTTCTGTGAAAAAAAACATAATGCCATCAAAATTTTCCAGAATAAGAAATTATCAAAAGGTAGCACTAGACTTGACTGCATGGCAAGTGTCATCATGAAATATTCAATGGTTTTGGAGGTATTCTCTGGAAACGAGAGACATTTTCCTACCCTCATTTTCAGTAAAATCCATCTTGCCATCATGAAAACAAATAAAAACCCAGAAAATCCATAATCACAAAAAGGCACAAGGTCCTTACTAGACTGACCTGTGATGAGTTTCAACAAGATATATTCAAGGGGTTCTGGGGCCACTGACCAGCTATTTCGTCTGACCAAATTGTTGTTGGGTTTGTTTTCAGATCAAAACAATTACAGTGAACATAAAAACATATCACTTCCAAAATTTTACCTGGATGAGAAACAATTAGATCAGATTGTCATGTCACTCTTAGACCTTACCTCATTCTTGTAATACTAAAAGTTAAATATCAGTTTCATCTTTCATAACTATAATATTTATATACTGATGATATATACGGTTACAAAGAAGAAAGCACGAGTTAACCATTTGACTGCAATTGCATGTTTGGATTTCTACACTCATCCAAGAATCTTTGGTGTCTGCATGTAAAGCCTACATCTTACATAATGTAACAGAGCACAGGAACTTGCGTCCATAGGCGCGACCATTTTGGTCAGGTGAAGTATATTATTATGCTGATGAAATACAGTAAAGTATACAAGTTATAGAACATGATTCAGGGAACTTGTACATTTAAGCATGACGTGCCTTAAACGACAAACACTTGACAGCACAAATGACACAGTTACTGTGAAATCGTGCAATCTGCTTTGAGTGTGAAGGATGGAGTGCAATCTGAAATATAAGCAATGTAACTTCTGTATTTGGCTTTGTTTTAGGATATGTAGAGAACTTGTGCCAGTACTTAATCGAGATATAAATGTACAGTCGTGTGAACAAACGAAAGTGCTCTTTCTAAAATAGAACAGCTTCACTTTGCCACTGAAACAAGAGGGGTAACTCCTGACTTAAACACTTTTCTGCCAAATGGCTCCTGTGCTGTGAAACAGAATACTTTAGTAACATGAAGAAAAATTAACTGAAGCCCTTAATGCAAAGATTTGGGATTCAAAATTTTTCAACAAATTGTCCAGAAAGGTTTCTTTGAACAGCCTTGTTTCATCATTTTAATCCTTTAATATTAAAAGTATGTCATCAATTCAAGTCTCAACTTTAAGTTGACATATGGGTACTGGGGTTCAAGATATCTACTCCCATGGAGTATTTCCTCAGGTTGGCATTCATATTGAATATTTGATATGTATTTTTTATATTTATTACTCCCCTTGGCCAAGTCTTTGGTATTTCTTATACCCATGAGATACTTTTACAATAATTCTGCTTGAATGGCTGTTGCAGGCAACCTCTAAATTTTCTTCAATTCATGATGCTACATGTTTGTTACATAAGCTTACAAGAGCAATACACATAGTGAGACATCACTGCCTAATAGGGCTGGGACGGGTCCAAATTTTCTACCCGGTAACCCCACCCCCTATTACCCTAACTGGATACCCGATATGTTAATTCCTGACATCAAATGTGTAAGAAATTGCAATATATTTTTTTCAGCTCGGAGGCTAAAATTTCGAGTTTTTCAATATCTTAGCCATGTATAATATTCAAGCAAAGTGACTGTAATTATGTCTAAATCTTCAAAGACAATACAACCTTTTAATCATGAAAGAATAATATATTACATTGTTTAATCTATTAGTCACATGATCATAGTGGGTCCGGGTATTGAGACGGGTACCCGGGTCCAACTCATTACCCACCCCTCCCGGGTATCTGGGTTACCCATCCCAGCCCTACTGCTTAGTACATTATTCTCTGCAGTTTATGAATAAAATATGCCTGTACTTTATGTGTAAATAGAGATATGAAAAGGTGATCATAAGCTGTAAACTAAACAGTGTTATATTTATGGGGTTTTATAAATTCATGCACACTTGTACGCAAATCAAAGTTAAAGGGTAATTTTTAAAGTATTTTATCTCCATGTCTCAGATTTAGTATACATATTGTTTCAGTAGTCAAAACACTCAAGACAAAGGACAGTGACCTTTAAATAATAGAGTTTGGAAGAGATAATCTAGCCCTTTATTTTTGTTTACGTCTATCTATGTCTTTGGCGTACATCAGACACTATCAACCAAGTCAGCCACTATTACAAGTTGATAATGATTTAGATGTTTTTGCTAAACACCAGTGGTTCTTGAGGACAAAGTTTAAGCCAGAATCAAAACCATGTGAAACCATCTGTATCCAAGATATTAGCAAAAGATTTCAGTGCTGCACCAATGATTTCCTTCAGAAAATGTGGGCCAATAACGAAAAGTGTAATCCTTCTCTTTGACATTTTGACAGCCAACAAGATTTGATGATAAACTCTTTACATCAAGTTGTGATCCCTACAGCGAAACAAGCTCTTTACAGCAATTTATATTACAGTTTTGTATGCAAATAGACGTACTAGCAATGTGCAGAGCTTAGGAAGCCCAGTTTTGAAATGCGGACGTTTAAATATTTTGATTTTGATTTCCGAATGTTTGACATTACTTTCAATGAAAATAGTCGTATTTTGAAATTAAGTACAAGCCCGATACATAAAAACGTGTTTTAAAATATAAATTTGTGCCATTGTTGGTGCATACATTTAAAAATAAATTGCCAAGGTAAGTACAATTAGCGGGAATCATGCAATTACGCAGTCTGGCTGCAGCACTGAGATTGGTTTGAGTCACTAAAATTTTATGTGATATGGCTCACATAATGTGTCACAAGAATACATTACTTTTACGGTAATTTTGTCAAAACCAAATACATCACAGTAAAAGTAAAGCCTGTTTTTCTTCAATACAAAGTTGGTCTGACAAGGGAACTGAAGACGATTACCATAAATATTTGGTCACTTTGTCATGTCATCATGCCGATTGCAATCTTCTTCTAAAACTAATCATACACTACTAATCATACACTACATCTAGTTCACACTTGTCATGTCCGAGTTAAGATGCTTCTTCATCTTTCTGATCATCACAAGCTTTTTCCTTGGCACTCACTGTCTGTCCATTTCCTTGGGAGTCGGAGACAAAGTCCCATTCTTTATCACCTTCAGATGAGCCTGAATCTCCCCCAGGAGACAATGGTGCATCTTTGCCCGTCTGCTCAACTGGCTCAATTTGCATCTTTTCCTCATCCAACTGATTCTCAGGACCAGATGAAACATTTTCAGCAGGGTCTGATGCATCGGTCTCTTTTCTATCTGATGCTTGTTTCTTGGAATCATCAGCCTCTTCATCTGAGTTTTCTTCTTTCTCATGTGGAATGTCTGTTTGGGAATCACTCTGTCCTTCATCACTACCAATCCTCAGATATTCATCTTCTGTGGATTCACCCAAAGCCATATCACTTTTCCCCGAATCCAGAGCCTCTGCCAGTTCAATGCTTGACTCATTGGAGGAAGACTTTTCATTATCTGGGTTTACAATATCATAATCGCTATTACCACTATCAGTCTTTTCATTACTCTCAACTAAATCGCCATTTGAATTATTGACATCAGAAACACAATCATCATCCTCTTTGCTTTCAAGTTTGTCCCCCTCAGATTCAGTTTCTTGATTGTCTGCTGTATCAACTGCCTGAGTTGGCTTCACTCTGCCCTTCTCAATACCTAACGGATCACCTGGCATGTCCTCTGCAGCTAAAGCAGACAAATCACCAGCTTCTTCATCCTCACAAGTATCTAAGGAACCATCCAGATCCACGCAACTGAAGCTGGGGAAAGCTAGAGCAGGTGCCCTCTCCCTGTAGTCTGCCTCCACTTCCGTGGAACTCTCAATGTCAGTGGATTCATGTCTCTGCTGGCCAGGAGCTTCTCGGGAAGGATCAGCATCTTGATGACTGGGACTGTGCAATTCAGTCATTTCTGTATGCTCGGTTTTCCCACTCTGATGAACTGGAGTGTCCATTGGTCGAACCTGGACATCTGTGAGTGACCCGGTCAGTGGGATCATGCTGTGGTTGTCCTCCTTTGCTGTAAACTGACCGGATGATCCTGAAAGAAGACTCTTGTTGTCCTGTTGCTGGACATTCTGAAGGTGACGGGTTGAGGAGATTAAATCACTGGAATCGAAAAAGTTTGTCAATAGCTAAGTAGTTTAACACATTGAGGAGAAAAACATAAGTTCCTGTTTCCGTATATCCATGCCCTGATGTAAGTCCCAAGTTTAAAGTAAAAAAACTTCAAGAACAATTTAAATCAACATAGGTAGGTTACCAATGTGAGAAAAACACAATTTAAATAAGATGTAATATTCCCAATTTAGACAAATATATTTGAAATTGGAATATATTTATTTTATTTCATTGACCTGCCAATCAAAACTTTAAAAAACAAACAGTTCCAACCAGGGATTAAGCCTCGTGATACTATCATGTGCATCATGTTCACAACCGATGTGGTGTAAGTAGATTAGTGCACTCTTCTGGAGTCTCTGAAATCCATATCAATCTCGAGGAGGCTCACTAACATATTCCTATTCTTTAATCCAAAGCTTTACCAGATGTTATTCCAAAAAGGGATAGGTTCATTTTTGTTAGTTGACATAGCATTAATTGCAGAGAGATGGTTAATTGGGAGATGTGAGGTATATGTCCACTCTACTCACAGTTCCCCGGTGGAGTGAGCAGAATGTATCCCCTCACTGGCCATGTCTGCCATCTGGATCTCCCGCACCTGCCTCGGGCCTGGTGGCTGCCTCATGGCCAGCAGCAGGGACAGTCTCTGCTGCAACGTCTGCCGCTCAGACTTCACCGTTGCACTGCAACGAAGTATCATGTGAAAAATGCAACCCCTGAGGTTTCAAAACAATTACTAAAATCAACAAAAAGTTTTTCAGTGATCCCTTTTAAGAATATAGTTGCAGGCAACGATGAGGGCTCCTCGGCTTTAGTTCTATCTATTGTATTTGAGGGCTAGAAATCATCGTCCAAAACGGAGCCAGAACACTCTTTTGACAGGCTGAGCGGATCTTCAAAATACAGCCAGGGTCGCGGGGGTGATGTACCTTTTAAGAAGTTCTGGAGAAGAAATAGTTCCCTCTTTAAAAGGCTGTATCTCAGTTGTTCTTGGGTCTACGGTCAAAACAATTAGTGTTCTGGAATAACCAAGACTTCATCTACCATACTGGCACTTTTTGTGCCGAATTTGCACAATGGTTACTGGACATCAGTTATGGAAAGTTTGGAATGTCTAGAGCTGATGGTTCGAGCTCAGCACATTTTGGGAGCAAACTACTCAGAAAACTGCTGAAAAACATGGCCAAAAAATGAAAACAAAAATAACTGCCAAACGGTACATTTCAGCAACTTGACCCGTCCAGGCAAAATTGTTGGGAATTCGATTGTGCATCTGTACAAGAGATTTGGAAGTGTTGGAAAAATTAGTTCTAGAGATATTTGCAGTCAAACTTTGAAATTTTGGAATTAATTTTGAATTATCTCCCCTTTGCTATTGGGCCTAGAGCCTAGAGAATTTTAAGGGGAATATCTTCACCTCGATGGGCATCTGTGTAATTTTTCTGTAAGCATTGGTTTAGGAGGTATAATGGGTACAAGATAAGCGGAATAATAAATAATAAAAATAATCCGAACGATTACAATAGGTCTCCTGCCTAGAGGCAAGGAGCCCTAATGATCAAAAATAAAAAATACTTTCTAAGAAGGCACCAACTTTTGGCGAAACAATAGGACCTATGGATAACTCACTATCAAGGGAACACAAATTTTGATTTGACAATCTTTTATTGTTAATCTTGTAATATAATTCTGTAAGAGTGTATTCTGTCATAACAAATGGACAAGTACACACAAATGAGAGTAAGATTTATCTCCCTTTGTATATGAAGCCAACGTGTGGTTCCACTGAATTGAAAACCTTTCCAAAAGATAAACAGATCATGATACCTTTGTCCGACTACTTCTCCAAATACAAACTTGTACTATAACAACATAAAGTACTCATTGTAATTCTGGTATTTTTAACTTTATGCTACTTCTTGCCCTGAGTCATGGTAACAACAGTACAAAGGTATCTCACAGCTGTTCCTGGAGCTCCAGCACGACATTCTCCAGCATCAGTCGGTCACGCTGACCCTCTGCCTCCACATACTGCAGACGCATCTCCATCCTCTGGTTGTCAGCAGAGATCTCCTCCACCTGACGCTCTCGGAGACGTACCAGTTCCTCCAGGTAGCCCTGATGAAGAACAACAACAGTTGGATGACTAAGACAATATTTCCTATTTGTCAGATCAGAGGTATCATCCAGAAAAAGTAGGTTGGCATAAAGGAATGGAAACTGAAGTAAGTAACTAATGGCCAAAATGTCTACCTTCTGTTCACAGGCGCTCTTGAACTTGTGTTCCAGGTTCTTGTATTTGTTCCGCCAGCTGGCGTCGTCCACAACGTCCTCGCTCATAATGCTGCTGCTGATGCTGGAGTTGGACAGCTCCCTCATTTCTTCCAGGTCACTAGAAACACTCTCCACACTGGGGTAAAGAGGACACAACTCTCAAAAACATGGCTGAGCCTTTAACATTTACCCAACTTCACCAATTTGAGAATAGCCTTAATACAACATGGAAAGAAACCGATATTCGACCTCTACACAACAGAACCAAAAGAAGGATGTTTCAACGGATGGACAGTGAACCAAAAATGTACCTAACAGAGTAATATATACTGACAATGTTGTAGCCAGGATCTGTGAGTGTGTGAGCTGGGTTTTATTGCAGCTTTGAGCAGTATTCCTGTCATATGATAGTGTGTCAGGTTCATGTAAGAACAGTGTGTGAAATAGCCACTGGCCTGCTAGCCCATAGCTAATAAAAATCCAGTCGGGCCAGTAAATCCCTACATTCAATGGCCCGACAGGCTTGTGAATTTCCATGGGGTCATTTTGTAAATTTATCACTCTCTCAGACTTGTTAAGTTATAACACACTTTTACATCAAGATTGTGGTCTGATTATAATGTTGATAAAAATGTTCTTCATTTTAGCAGCTTCTACATTCACATTTTGGGCTGGTGAATTATTTTGAGGGCTAGTAACTTTCAGGCATAGCTTGCCCGACTGGTTTGCATAATTTGGAAACTATTTCACACACTGTGTAAGAATAAAGCAATAGGCAGAGCCGGTGTCAGACACATGGTGAAACCCACAGGCATGGTGCTGAAACCTAGAACCATAGCAAGGGTCAGCCAGGCCTGGAACACAGTCTCCGACAGGCTTAAGGAATACATCTCTGAACAGCAACCTGCAGCCTCAGACGACTAGGATCAGTGGAAACAGTAATATGATGATAGTCGTAAGAACATACCTCTGGTGGAACTGTAGAAACGGTGTGAAGTCTATTACCAGGGGTCCTAACAAGTCCATGTTCTCTCCCTTCAGACAGAAGCTAAAACCATACCAAGAATCAAATATACATTAAACATGCATATCATGGATATGGAACATTACACCCCAAAGATTTCAAGCCATGTGTGTCTAAAAGATCATTTTTAAATGATTAGGGAAACTTCTCAATTCGGATTGATTAGTCTGAGGTTTCCACCAGAAAAGGGCTTCACACACTGTACCCATGTGGGGATTCAAACCCTGGTCTTTGGTGTTTCAAGCGAATGCTTTAACCACTAGTCTACCCCACTGCCCCTACATTTCTTAAAGTCTATGTGACACAGTCAAATTTTGGACAGAAACACTACAGAAATCAGCTTACAAACATCCACACGTTTAAGAGACAACAGAGACTTCTTAGGCCTTCTTAATTTTCTTTCGGAACGTTCACACAGAATTAAATTCATTCTGTTCATATGCTGATATCTCACCTGAAGTCAATGGTATTGAGTCCTAGGAACACTCCACACAGCATATTGGCATCTTCAGACAGCATTATGGCTCCATCTAGGTAGTGCTTCCTAAACAAGAACAAAGGTATTGTCTATTCCTGTGTCATCTGCAACTAATAGTAATATACATATAACAATGGGAAATATATGCAGTTGTTGGTCAATGTGTATAACACTGCTCTGAAGAGTACCACAGTTCTATCACAGTGTGTCAGCCTAGTATATGTGTGAGTGAGTGAGCGAGTTCAGTTTTACGCCGCTTTTAGCAATATTCCAGCAATATCACGGCGGGGGACACCAGAAATGGACTTCACACAATGTACCAATGTGGGGAATGGAACCCGAATCTTCAACATGACGAGCAAACGCCTTAACCACTAGGCTACCCCACCGCCCCCTAGAAAATGACACCCGAAGTAATGAAAATCTCAGACATTCAACACTTTGGTGAAATCCACAAATCCAGGTTTAATGTTGACAAACCTTGAAATATAATCAGGGTAAACCAGATAGCTAACCCAAGATCATCGTATCCTTGCATGACCAAGGGAAGCAATTCCATATATTGAGTTGCAGTGCCTAATTTGACTAGGTCAAACGTGCCTCCACTGCTGATGAGACAATCAACCTTAATGATTTCATATGGAAACTGTTAAAATTGCCTCGTCTCAAATACACATAACTTTAAGACATTGCTGGTCAATATAATCGGTCAATTGTTCGATCTCGCTTGTGTCAGAGATTATTGATAAGCTTGCAAGAGTAATCAATATTCATATAACAAAACATCAAATTAAACTTAAGAAGAAAGTAAGATTGTTTATGGATAACAACTTCTTTTATTATATATGATGCATCATATATAATAAAAGAAGTTGTTATCCATAAACAATCTTACTTTCTTATTAGTCACCAACTTCTAAATGCCAATCAAACAGATCATAAACTTAAGAAAGTATGTTTCTTATTGTTCTGTGGAACCAAGACACAAGCAGTTTTCCTGACTCGCAAAACATCAATATAAACAACATATTCGTGTGTGTGTCTCAACAGGAAGTACCCTGTATTGTCTTGCTTGTGGTATTAATCGATGCCTGTTTCGTTTGCGATTATGTCTTGTTATTGTCAAAATGGGTTCTGTGGCAGGGTTTTCGATTACAATCTATTATTGACCAAATATTGACCTCTGATTTTACATCTGCATATTGTGAGCGACAACCAGCACTACTTTAAGACCAGGCCCCGATTTCTCGAAACAAACTTAAGTCTGAGTTTTGACATAAGTTAGAGTTTTGACTCAAATTTGAGAAAACGCAAGAAAACGCAAGGAAATGCATTTCCCAGAATGAACTGAAGTGCAGGTCAGTCAAACAGTGGCACTATATGATAAATAGTGCAGGTCAGTCAAACAGTGGCACTATATGATAAATAGTGCAGGTCAGTCAAACACTGGCACTATATGATAAATAGTGCAGGCCAGGCAAACACTGCCACTATATGATAAATAGTGCAGGTCAGTCAAACACTGTCACTATATGATAAATAGTGCAGGTCAGGCAAACACTGGCACTATATGATAAATAGTGCAGGTCAGGCAAACACTGCCACTATATGATAAATAGTGCAGGTCAGTCAAACACTGGCACTATATGATAAATAGTGCTGGTCAGTCAAACACTGCCACTATATGATAAATAGTGCAGTTCAGTCTAACACTGGCATTATATGATAAATAGTGCAGGTCAGGCAAACACTGCCACTATATGATAAATAGTGCAGGTCAGGCAAACACTGTCACCTATATGATAAATAGTGCAGGTCAGGCAAACACTGCCACTATATGATAGCTAGTGCAGGTCAGGCAAACACTGCCACTATATGATAGCTAGTGCAGGTCAGGCAAACACTGCCACTATATGATAAATAGTGCAGGCCAGGCAAACACTGCCACTATATGATAAATAGTGCAGGTCAGGCAAACACTGCCACTATATGATAAATAGTGCAGGTCAGGCAAACACTGCTACTATATGATAAATAGTGCAGGTCAGGCAAACACTGCCACTATATGATAAATAGTGCAGGTCAAGGTCAGGCAAACACTGCCACTATATGATAAATAGTGCAGGTCAGGCAAACACTGCCACTATATGATAAATAGTGCAGGTCAGGGCAAACACTGCCACTATATGATAAATAGTGCAGGTCAGTCAAACACTGCCACTATATGATAAATAGTGCAGGTCAGGCAAACACTGCTACTATATGATAAATAGTGCAGGTCAGGCAAACACTGCCACTATATGATAAATAGTGCAGGTCAGGCAAACACTGCTACTATATGATAAATAGTGCAGGTCAGGCAAACACTGCCACTATATGATAAATAGTGCAGGTCAGGCAAACACTGCTACTATATGATAAATAGTGCAGGTCAGGCAAACACTGCCACTATATGATAAATAGTGCAGGTCAAGGTCAGGCAAACACTGCCACTATATGATAAATATAGTGCAGGTCAGGCAAACACTGCCACTATATGATAAATAGTGCATATGATAAATAGTGCAGGCCAGTCAAACACTGCCACTATATGATAAATAGTGCAGGTCAGGCAAACACTGCCACTATATGATAAATAGTGCAGGTCAGGCAAACACTGCTACTATATGATAAATAGTGCAGGTCAGGCAAACACTGCCACTATATGATAAATAGTGCAGGTCAGTCAAACACTGCTACTATATGATAAATAGTGCAGGTCAGGCAAACACTGCCACTATATGATAAATAGTGCTGGTCAGGCAAACACTGGCAACAAATAGTTCCGGTCAGTCAAACACTACCACTTTTTTGCAGGTTGACAAAATAGTGCAGGTCAGTAGCACTATTTGATAAATCAAACAGTTCAGTCAAATGGCAAAAATAGTGCAGTTCAGTCAAACACTAGTGATAAATAGAGCAGTTCATATGATAAATAGAGCAGTTCAGTCAAACACTGGCATTGGCAACAAATAGTGCAGTTCAGTCAAACACTAGCACTATTGGATAAATAGAGCAGTTCAGTCAAACACTAGCGCTATTTGATAAATAGAGCAGTTCAGTCAAACACTAGCACTATTTGATAAATAGAGCAGTTCAGTCAAACACTAGCACTATTGGATAAATAGAGCAGTTCAGTCAAACACTAGCACTATTTGATAAATAGAGCAGTTCAGTCAAACACTGGCACTATATGATTAATAGAGCAATTCATTGACATGAAATGAAGAACAACGCAGTTGTGTCCAAACAATAATTTCTAATGTTACTACGTCAGTAAAAATATGTCCAATATATATGTTTCCTTATCGTAAATATCACATATATGGGGGGAAATATATAAACATCAAATATATCAGATGTTAAAACATTTATGTCATACTAGCCAACGTATCACAATGTCATGATAATACAATGTATATTCCTAACATATGATACTTATTATACAGAATCACATGGCTAATAAATTATATATATAAATAATACTTCCCAGTGTTAATCTCTATAATTCAATCAGAACAATCTTTGCACTAATCTTGACTTCTCACTTTGTACCTGTTAAATCCTCTTATCTTGAATATAACGCATGCTAATTTAATCAGGCAATTTTCTTATCTATGTCCCAAATAAACAAAGACCATTGTTAGAGCTACATCGAGATACTGTGAGATTACAGTCCTTGTACAAGAACTGATGGACAGAGACAGTAACAATCAGCGTTTTGATGGTCTCGGTGGCATGTCTTTCAAGATCGTGGCAGTAATGTTAAAATAATGAGCTTATCTAAAAGATATCAGTAAAAAGTAACTTGTAAACAGGTTTAACATAAAAAAATTTGCTCAGAAGACATACTGGACACTGTCAGATTACACATCTGGTATGAGCACTGACAGGCAGTGACTGTAACAAGGCATATTAAGTGAAGCTCTGTTACGTCTCGTCTTTCAAAGTCAAGGCAGTAATGTTAAAATTTGGCAGTATTGTGTTAAAACCTTTACTCAATAGACATGGTAGGAATTCTGAGATGATTTCTCCAAAACAATTGTTTGGATCCTCCTTTCAAAGAGAGTGAATGACTGAGTTTGGTTTTACAACACTTTGAGCAATATTCATGCATTATATGCAATGAAATTATGAATGCAGCATAAAACCTAACTACTCAATACTCTACCCTTTTTAGTCATACTGACCTTGTGATGTTCTGTTGCTTGATTGCAGCACCTAAATACTCGGACAACTTCTTCTCCATCAGTGCACATCGAATGAAAGCTCGGCCCTGGAAGAGAATCGAAGAAAATCTGTTTTTTTGCAACCTGTGAAGCCCCTTATTGTTAACCCTACATGCCAAGGGAAGACTGGCTACTGAAAGGGTGCACTCTGTATGCCAAGGGAAGACTGGCTACTGACGGGGTGCACCCTGTATGCCAAGGGAAGACTGGCTACTGATGGGGTGCACCCTGTATGCCAAGGGAAGACTGGCTACTGATGGGGTGCACCCTGTATGCCAAGGGAAGACTAGCTACTGATGGGGTGCACTCTGTATGCCAAGGGAAGACTGGCTACTGATGGGGTGCACTCTGTATGCCAAGGGAAGACTGGCTACTGATAGGGTGCACTCTGTATGCCAAGGGAAGACTGACTACTGACGGGTGCACTCTGTATGCCAAGGGAAGACTGGCTACTGATGGGGTGCATTGCCTCTGTATGCCAAGGGAAGACTGGCTACTGATGGGGTGCACTCTGTATGCCAAGGGAAGACTGGCTACTGATGGGGTGCACTCTGTATGCCAAGGGAAGACTGGCTACTGATGGGGTGCACTCTGTATGCCAAGGGAAGACTGGCTACTGATGGGGTGCACCCTGTATGCCAAGGGAAGACTGGCTACTGATGGGGTGCACTCTGTATGCCAAGGAAGACTGGCTACTGATGGGGTGCACCCTGTATGCCAAAGGAAGACTGGCTACTGATGGGGTGCACTCTGTATGCCAAGGGAAGACTGGCTACTGATGGGGTGCACTCTGTATGCAAGGGAAGACTGGCTACTGATGGGGTGCACTACTGTATGCCAAGGGAAGACTGGCTACTGGCTACTGATGGGGTGCACTCTGTATGCCAAGGGAAGACTGGCTACTGATGGGGTGCACTCTGTATGCCAAGGGAAGACTGGCTACTGATGGGGTGCACCCTGTATGCCAAGGGAAGACTGGCTACTGATGGGGTGCACTCTGTATGCCAAGGAAGACTGGCTACTGATGGGGTGCACTCTGTGCACTCTGATGGGGTGCACCCTGTATGCCAAGGAAGACTGGCTACTGATGGGGTGCACCCTGTATGCCAAAGGAAGACTGGCTACTGATGGGGTGCACTCTGTATGCCAAGGGAAGACTGGCTACTGATGGGGTGCACTCTGTATGCCAAGGGAAGACTGGCTACTGATGGGGTGCACTCTGTATGCCAAGGGAAGACTGACTACTGACGGGGTGCACTCTGTATGCCAAGGGAAGACTGGCTACTGATGGGGTGCACTCTGTATGCCAAGGGAAGACTGGCTACTGATGGGGTGCACTCTGTATGCCAAGGGAAGACTGGCTACTGATGGGGTGCACTCTGTATGCCAAGGGAAGACTGGCTACTGATGGGGTGCACTCTGTATGCCAAGGGAAGACTGGCTACTGATGGGGTGCACCCTGTATGCCAAGGGAAGACTGGCTACTGATGGGGTGCACTCTGTATGCCAAGGGAAGACTGGCTACTGATGGGGTGCACCCTGTATGCCAAGGGAAGACTGGCTACTGATGGGGTGCACCCTGTATGCCAAGGGAAGACTGGCTACTGATGGGGTGCACTCTGTATGCCAAGGGAAGACTGGCTACTGATGGGGTGCACCCTGTATGCCAAGGGAAGACTGACTACTGACGGGGTGCACTCTGTATGCCAAGGGAAGACTGACTACTGATGGGGTGCACTCTGTATGCCAAGGGAAGACTGGCTACTGATGGGGTGCACCCTGTATGCCAAGGGAAGACTGGCTACTGATGGGGTGCACTCTGTATGCCAAGGGAAGACTGACTACTGATGGGGTGCACTCTGTATGCCAAGGGAAGACTGGCTACTGATGGGGTGCACTCTGTATGCCAAGGGAAGACTGGCTACTGATGGGGTGCACTCTACATGCCAAGGGAAGACTGGCTACTGATGGGCTGCACTCTGTATGCCAAGGGAAGACTGGCTACTGATGGGGTGCACTCTGTATGCCAAGGGAAGACTGGCTATAGATGGGGTGCACCCTGTATGCCAAGGGAAGACTGGCTACTGATGGGGTGCAATGACATACAATCAGCTCGTGCAGTGCCAATAGGTGGCATGATAAATACAAGATGCCGGACTTGTTCACAAAGACTGACTGAGTTTAGTTTTACGCCGCTTTTAGCAATATTCCAGCAATATCACAGCAGGGGACACCAGAAATGGGCTTCACATTGTGCCCATGTGGGGAATCGAACCCGGGTCTTCAGTGTAGACGAGCGAATGCTTTAACCACTAGGCTACCCGACCGCCCCTGTTCACAAAGAGAAGACTGACTAAGTTTCATTTGGGGTGGTGGGGTAGTCTAGTGGTTAAAGCATTCGTGCTCGTCACGCTGAAGACCTGGATTCATTCCCAACATGGTACAGTGTGTGAAGCCCATTTCTGGAGTTCCCTGCCGTGATATTGATGGAATATTGCTAAAAGTGGCGTAAAAGTAAACTCACACACTCACTCACTCACTCAAGTTTCATTCATTGCTGGAGTCTTCTTCATAAACTGACACTCAAAACTATTTGAACCTCACCACATCAGTTTGATGCTTATTCTACACAGCATCTATACAGTGATGGCATCACCTCAGCAGATTGAAGCATTCTCTATGGCTTCCATGCTATGAAGATCTTATATTCTATAAGCCATCAATACCATGATAACCTCACCTTGGCAGACGGTGACTTTATATTCTCTATGGCGTCTATGCTTGCTATGCAGCTCTGGGGCACATGTCGACAAGCTGCACGAACATATTCCCAAAAGGAGCGATTGTCCCCACCTCGGTACCAGGTGGTTCTGTAAGCTGTAAATAAAATATTGTAGCAAATATTGGAAACCACAGACAAATCATACTTACATGTGAAAAATGAGATCATCTTAAAAAGTGAGTGAGTATGGTTTTACACCGATTATAGCAATATTCCAGCAATATAACGGCAGGGGACACCTTTAGTCAGGTGATCAATTAGAAGTCTGACCCCCAGTGAGAATGGTCTGTTTTTCAAATCCCAGTTACGGACTCAGACAAAATATACAGTAAATGACAGTTATAATGAACTCAATGGGCCAATATCCATAAGTTTTTATACTGTATAGGTGTTTGAGAACTTGCTCTTACTAACGAGGAGACAAGTATGAAGTTAAGGAAACTACAAACATGAAGGCATTTCTTTAAAAATGTGACTATTGTTTTACAACATACGCCTGATCCTGTGTAGAAGCACTTGTTCCAGAACTGCACAGAAGTTGATGAATTCCTCGCATTCATCGTCAATATTGCTGAAACAGGCCTTGTCTATAAGGCTCTTGACACAGAATCTGGAACAAATACGGAGGATGAAGTAATAATCATAATGACTCAATGATTACTGATTGATTAATTGTTTGATTGTTTATTATTTAACATGCCACTCAGCAATATTCCAGCTATATGGCAGCGGTCTGTATATAATTTAGTCTTGACCGGACAATCCAGTGATCAACAGCACTAGCAACGATCTACACAACTGAGATATGATGACATGTGTCAACCATGTCAGCAAGCCTGACCACCCGATCCCGTTAGTCACCTCTTATGACAAGCATGGGTTGTTGAAAATCAATTCTAACCCGGATCTTCACAGGTGAGTCAAGATTGACAAACTTTATGGATAACAACTTCTTTATTACGAGATTGTGACGTTTCGATACAGATTCTAGTACCGTTGTCAAGCAGGAATGTAACATACATTGGTGGCAAAGTATATATACTGCGTGTAACAAAGAAAACAAGATAACAAGGTAATTAACCAGTTTATGAAATAAGCCAAAAGCCCAGCCAGACATCTGGGCTGGTAACTTCAAAAACTTACCAGCCTGGAAGAGATTTAACCAGTCCTTCTTAAATACTAAACAGACAGTGCCAGTGGACACGTTATCTGAATATTTTTGTCACCCATCTATCGGGCTGGTTAGCGGTAAAATTCGATTGGTGTTTTTGCCATTTTCCATTAATTTTGAAAATATAATAAAGTTTAAATGTTGGTGTTTGTTATTTATATTTGATCTGTAATATGAAAAACGATAAGAAAGACTGCAAGTTGTCAAGTTCATGTCCTGAAATAGAACCACTCAGCATACCTCAATTATTTTATCTATCCACCGGTACGCAAGCTAAGATTTGACATTTTTTAGTGTATGCATGTAAGATCACATTTATTGAGTATATACAAAAATTCAAGCGTACTTGTACGCAATAGACTTAATAGAAATTGAGTTTTCACATAAATATTTGCATAATATACGCAGATACGAAGCTTATCTGTACCTCTGAATAAAAACAAAATAGACTACACTGTACAAAGTTTCACGCTGTTTCTACAAAATCAATTAGCAAAACCTGTGGTGCAGAGAGACGTTTATATTTGTTAAAGACTGGTATTCACATTCCTATGCACAAAGCGCTGAAATACCAGGAAGTGAAACTGTAAGTTATCGTAACAAGATGGAACATGGATGATTCCCAAACGTTAATAAAGAAAAAAAACAAGGGAAAGATTCCAGTTGCAAAAGAGACAGACAGTTTACTGAAGGTCACAAGGGCCTGCAAATATTTGAAACTGCCGGCCCGATACAATAACAACCAGCAATGGGCCTCCGGGCCGGCGATTATTTCGAACGCTGTCTGCAAATCCTTACACAATTCAAATGTGACTTGTCACTGGATAAATTACTGTTGGCACCATTGCTCCTCCAACAAAGCAAGATCTAAACACAAATGATCAATAGCATGCCAACCTTCTATTTCAGTATTGATTTTTAGAAAATAATATCTATAAAGTTTTCCAATAACAGAACCTGATAACTACAAGGGGTATGTACGATTACTGCTCATGAAATGAAAACCGAAAAAAGTTTAAAAAGCATAAAACTACAAGCACAAGATTTAATTAACCAGTCATGGGCGTAAAGCACCAAATGGTTGATAGCAACAGAGACCATACGTCGGTATATGGTCTCTGAAAGCAACTATGTGGCTAACAAACCAGTACACCTGTAACACCCCCTATTGTAAAGATACAGGTTTGAATCATTAGACAGAGGCCCAGATAAGCTGCGTATCCGGGTAAAATACGCATTGAAAAATAATTGTTGCGTACCAATAACGCATTTAAAATGTTAGATACACAAAAAGTTTAAAACAAATGCGTATGGAATATATTTATAAAAATCACTTGCGTAATGAAAAAGACATCGATTGCTATCAAGTTGTACTGTTAGTATAGGACTAGTGTTGTACTGTCAGTATTGGATAAGTGATGTTTTTATGAAATCATTTCCATTATTATTATATTTAAGTTGGTTTTGATTAGGTATGACATAAGGCAGAACATACCTGCTGAGTAAACTTACTCAATGACATAATACTTAGGTGAGTAAAATGACTGAAATATGCACATATTTGAAAGCAGTGGGTAACGGAAAATGAAATACCCACTCAACATTCATAATACCCACTCCAAAAAATTACAGTGGGTACAGTGCCCACATGAGCTAAATCTTATCTGGAGCTCTGATTAGAGATTGAAATGCTCATAGCCTCTAGCTTCTGATCATGAAGACAGATTCTGAAGAAGATCTTTGAAAATTCACCATAATTTCAGGGGTTTAATTATTTCTATCTCCAACCACCAGGTTCTTCATTTGTTTGAAGTAATTGAACCTACATTCAGAGATTGCAACCTAACAACATAATATCATTGCAGGAAGTTATGTCAGTTGCAAGTTTAGATTGAGAGAGACTGAAGAACCACATCGGTCAATATTGACTTAACATTCAGTAGAAAACAATACAGATATTGCTGAGGAATAGCATTTCAAACAAATGTCAGACACTTTGAACAAATGTCAAGTGAACATGATTGTAAACTAACAATTGATCCTACATAAATCAAAGTTTTTATCATCTAATCAAAATAGATGTCCACAGTTCACCTACTTCATTGTATTCTCAGATAAGCATTTCATAAACACTGATAAATAGTAAAACTTTACTGACAGTTAACAAAATATCTACTGTGAACTAAATGTTTCCGATGACTGATCTTATATTCTTATATGATCAAAAATATTATATCAGAGACTGGTAAAACATGCAAGATATAGATGAAGAACAATGTCATATAAAATGTTAGGGACTACCATAGGAATACTGGATAAACATTCGCTTCGCAGCAAAGGCTCCTCAAAATAATGTCACTTGAAATTAATTTCACAAATAATCAGGAAGTGATATTAAATTAGCTACCACGACAGCGTTCAGTTATTTTCGTTTCTTTTGTTCTCCTAACGTGTATCTGATTTAAGATACGTCATCAGAGACATGGATGACTATCACCAGTCTCATAACTCTTATCAATCTAACTCACACAAAATATGATTATGAGACACAATATTTTCGATGTTGATGATGACAAATGACAGGTCACAGTTACCTGCAAACAGAAACGACATTCCGTCTTGCAACCTGGATCTGTCGATTGGAAAGCCTGGTGTTCGTGTTTTTGTTGTCATCCATCGTTCACACCCCTCATTTATCTATTGTTTACAGGTGGCGGGCGGTAAATGTAAACATCACACACAGTGCTCATGTGATCTGAGCCTATGGGTTATGTTTGACCTTAACCTTTGACCATCGCCAATTTAACATACAAACTAAATATTTATTTGTGGGTAGGTAATCTACTTTTTTTTTAAATATATACTAAAAGTATAAAAAAAATAAGTAGCAGGTTGGTTTATGTTTCGAGTAAAAAAACTGTAACTGGACATCTGTCTATAATTGTAATGTATACAATGCTCGGCCAATTAATGTTGACTGGGCTTCTGTCTTTAAGGCGCAAGTTTACAAACAGTGGAAACAATCTAGGCTGGTTTGGTTACTCTCAAACGCTTGCGCTCCCCTCTCTTCAGTAGCGTGTGAAGGCGAAACACAGGACCCCAGTCTAGAAAAGATCCTATTAAGCTCCAAACAGGGATTTGAGATCCAGAGTTTCAAACAGGTGTTTCAGGAACGATAACTCTATTCCCTACATCATTGTTTACATGTGAACATGCTACCGGGTTGTGAAATAGAGAAGCTGGAAAGTGACGTTTCCTAGATACTGGAAAATTGAGTTTAGGTTGAAAAACTTCAAGTTTCATATAAATTGTAAGATCTGATATCAAGATGGAAATAACGTTTCTTGGGACTGCATCAGCATACCCGACACCTTCGAGAGGAGTATCCTGCGTTGTTCTCAAGCATGGTATATAATATTATAATGATGTTAACATGACTCTCACATGACTTCCAATGCATTTCATTTCTCCTCCAGTAAAAGTTTAGACTTTTAGGCTGTTTAGTGACAAGATCATGCCCTCGAGATTCACGGTCATTCTTTATCCAAAAACTTTTCGTTACTCTCAGTGAATATGTGGTTCTAAACGGGTGCCAGTCAAATCGCCCCAGCTACAAAATGCCCCAGCCAATTTGGTCAAAATGCCCCAGATTTTTGGTCAAATCGCCCCAGGTTTGGTCAAATTGCCCCAGGGGGGTAGTCAAAATGCCCCAGTGTATTTAAAATGATTAAATATATGCCATAAATGCATTAAAACATGTTCACTAATTGACATTCAATGCTGTGTTTAGTTAAAGGAAATGTTGAGGCTCGAATGTATGAACATTTCAGGCTATAAAAACATATTCACTAATTGACCATCACCTATCGAGATTCAAATATGTAATTTTGACTTAAATTTCTGTAGCAGATTTTGTCTAATCATACATTCTCGTCTCCAACTTGAATGTAGTGACCTTAATGCGCACAAGTATGAAAGATTTATATCTCTGACATCATCTTGCTCTTGTGGCCATAACTATGAAGACTCTGCTCACTATTTCTTTTCATGTACTCTTTACAACGATATACGTCAAATTATGTATTTTTATACTAAAGGATTTGACCTAAAATCAATTTTGTTTGGAAACCAACGCTGCTCCTCAATAGTAAACAAAGAACTTTTAATTTCAGTGCACTGTTTTATAAATTTAACAGGCAGATTTGATCCAAAATATTTTGTTTATGTGACATATACCATTTAACAATGATAGGCGTTATTTCTCGTTTTTGCAACATTTATATATCATTCACATTGTACATTCATCATGACGAGTTTATTCTTCCTTCCATTGTATCCCAGAGCGGTATTCATATAAGCTTATGCTTGTTTACCAATCCGGTTCCTTTCTTTGGAAATAAATATGTTTAAATAATAAATATTATACCATACTTGTTATGATTACATAATGCCATTTGTTGACCAAAAACTATTTACAGCCATATTATACAAACCTTTCATTTTACTCTTGTAATTCTTTACCAAATAATTGGTATTATAGTGTTGTTTATGTACATGAATATTACTTTTGGTCTTATCAGTTTACTAATAGAATCTTTATCAGAAATATCACTATATAATATTATATATAGAATATAATATGGAAGTTGACAAAACTATGCATTTGTGGCATATATTTAACCAATTTAAATACACTGGGGCATTTTGACTACCCCCTGGGGCAATTTGACCAAACCTGGGGCGATTTGACCAAAAATCTGGGGCATTTTGACCAAATTGGCTGGGGCGTTTTGTAGCTGGGGCGATTTGACTGGCACCCTTCTAAACACTATGAAAAGTTTGTGATTAAACAGATAACATGAATGTTATATCTCCGTAAATGCAAAATATTTTTGAAGCCTATTTATTTAAACATTTACATTATTATTGTAAGTAACTGTGGACAACAGTATAATAATGTTTATAATCATAAATTGGAAAAACTTCCGCCCACTCTATTATCAGCTAGCCTACCAATCATAGACACACATTATTGTTTGTTTAGTTGTTAAAATAGCATGGAACTACTGGCAATGCATATGTGTTATGATTAATATTTTCATCATGTTTACAACATTTTAAATATGAATGAATACAACTGACACTAGTGACAGCGTTTCAGTGTAGACAAATATGTATCTAAAGTGTTTAACTGTTTTCTGCAGATAGCTGGTGCTGGATGTTTGACTGTGGAGAAGGATCACAGATTCAGCTGATGAAGAGTCCCCTTAAACCAGGGAAAATCAGCAAAATATTCATATCTCATCTACATGGAGATCATGTGAGTCTTTATTTCCAGAATGTCTGAATCTCTGTCACAAACTGATGTCATGTACTGTGTTCAGTACTAATCGTGAAAGTTAATGGTTCTTTCATTACCTGTAATGTCAAGCAATGGAGATCTCTGGAGATTTTCTACTCTTTTAATAATCTCAACCCCTATACTTGATTATCTGGATTTTCAAGCGACATTGGGATGCCCTTTCAAATCACTGTTGGCAGAGTAGACGCATTTATTATGTAAACATTCTGCAATCCGATTATCAGCTTATGACTATCTAGTTGGTTCCATTTTAACCATAAGATTTGTAGCCGTTTTCACCAAGTCGAAGTTCCGTTTTGTCCAAATGATGCTGTTTTCTCCAGGTGCCGGTTTTAGCCAGAACCCTATATTATATCTCTGTACTATGGACCCTTTTTGCTGCCATCCCAAGTTTTAGAAACACTGACAATGGGTTAATTATTATCTAGCTGCTGCCTGGCTGTAAAGTGTAACAATTACAAAACTTTTCAGTTAAGACTATCGTTAGCCACTCACAATAATTTCATGGCTCAAAATGTTCTAGATGTACAAGAATTGCTTATGTACAGTTTGTGAATACATTCTAAAGGATTCTAGATATTTATTCAAAGAAGATGCAGCTACAGACAGGAGGGGAAGTTCATTCTTGAGAGTGTGTTTGGATTTTTTTCCTTTTAGCAGTATTATAAATAGACATTGATGTTTATAGTTGATGTTTCAATTTTTCCTGAATGTACTGACATCAGGCCATGAATGATAGTTGGAATCGCTGATATTGGATTATTTTTTAATCACATTGATGACCACTGTGGTTTCCTGTTATGAAATATGTATTAGCAATGTTGAGTTGAAAATTTTCTCTAAGATACTAATAACCATTGTTTATGTTCCAAACTTTGTTCTACATCAAAGGTGTCATGATTGAGATGTCCTAACCCTTGTTGTATCTTTTGTTAGAAGTAAGTGAGGTTCATGTTTGATCAAGACTTTAGTTATGTTATTTCGGTTGAATGGTTGAGGATATGATCCAATGGAGTTTGCCACCTTAGCAAAATGTTTGTGCTGACTGTTCAAGTAGTATGTTGTGTGCAAATCTTGGATTCATCTAAGGTTTGCTAATATTCACAGCCATCTTGGATTCGTCAGATAACTGAGTCACCATGGGACTCTGGTAAAGAGAAAAGCTTAGTTAATCAGCTGATGGTCCTAATATTATCATGGATAAAAAATGTAGGAATCTATGAAATGATGTTCATTGTTTACATCTGACACCTTTAGCAGTTACCTTGGTGACCTGAACATGTAACTGACATAGAATAGGACCATTCTCATTGTTTCCAATTGTCGTGTGCTGGGCTGGAAGCTGATGCAAGCGAGGTAATCAAGAGTGTAATGGGTTAACTCATTTCAGTACATGTACTGGGTGGTGATGGTGGTGGGTTTGTTGTTTAATGCCGCACTCAGCAATATTCCATCTATATGGCGGCGGTCTGTAAGTAATTGAGTTTGGACCAGACAATCCATTTATCAACAGCATGAGCATCAATCTACACAACTGAGATACGATGGCATCTGTGAAACAACTCGGCGAGCCTGACCACCCGATCCCGTTAGTCACCTCTTACGACAAGTATGGGTGGCTGATGACCAATTCTAACCCAGATCTTCATATTCATTTTTGACAAGTTCAAACTGATTTTTTTCACAGTGTTTTGGACTCCCCGGCCTCATGTGTACCATCAGCCAGAACAACGCAAGGACCGAGCCTGTGGAGCTGTATGGACCGCTGGGACTCAGGAAGTTCCTTCGTGTGTCTCTGGAGCTGTCTCGCTCACAGCTCGGGTTTGACTATATCGTTCATGAGCTGCAGGTTCTTGACAGCCAGCTGCCAACTGATTGGATGGTACGTTCAGTTCATTTGACCTGCTGTAGGATGTTGATTGGTGTAATTGATTGCATTGTATTAGTCATGCTGAACAAGAGTGAGTGAGTTTGGTTTTACGCCATTTTTAGCAATATTCCAGCAATGTCACAGCGTAGGACACCAGAAATGGCTTCACACATTGTGCCCATGTGTGGAATCGAACCCGAATCTTTCACGTGACCAGCAAGCGCTTTAACCATTAGTCTACCCCACTGCCCCTGCTGAACAAGAAAAATATCAATGCATAAAATAATGGGCTTTTGCTGGTTTTAGTTAGTGAAACACCACAAATTACTTGCAACTTAATTATTCTCATTTTGACTTCAAAGGATACATGATAAAATCAGATGGACTTCAGCTTCCTTTGTACTAATTATTTTGTCTGCAGTGATATCCGTTGTTTGTTGGTCATGATTGTATGTCAACATTTAAATGTCTCTCAGTATATGAAACCAAGAAGTAAAACATCTGACAAATCTCTGGAATATATAATTATTTCCCAGATTTGTTTCATCAGTACAGGGGCACAGGTAGTGTGAGGCCCAACCAATTTCAGTGAGGGTTGTATGCCTTTGACCTGCCAGAATACTATGGTCTTGATCAAATGCTAGATTTACCCAGGTAACTGCCAGTTGTCTGTGGTCTGTGTTTGCCGCGATTAGGACCTCATCGCGGGGGATCGGCTTATGTACGAAACATACCATTTTGACACTGATTTTAAGGGTCAAGTTTGGGGGTCGGCTTTTCTATGGGGTCAGGTTATCTACGGTAATATATGGTACCCTTAAAATGATCATTGATTTGTAAATACAATATGTTTGCTTTTTGGTTTCTCCAAAGTAGTGCACACATTAGACCTACATTAAACTTGGTCTTTTCTCCCACATTACTACGGACCCGTGAAGACCCATGGTTAGAATTGGTCTTCAGTAACCCATGCTTGCTGTAAAAGGCGACTAACGGGATCGGGTGGTCAGGCTAGCGGACTTGGTTGACCACATGTCATCGTATCCCAATTGCATAGATCGATGTGCAACAATTGATCACTGGATTGTCTGTTCCAGACTCGATTAATTATAGACCGCCACCATGCAGCTGAAATATTGCTGTGTGCAGGGTTAAACAACAAACCAACCAACCAACCCACATTATGTTGACATGCTGTAATTGTATTAATGTTTAGAGCAACCTGAAACACAAATCACTCGTTCATGTACAAAAGTGTATGATAGAAGCTAACAGTGCATGTTGAGATATTGTTTTCTTCTGTGACAGGACTGGACTGTTGACCACACTGCTGATGAAAAACTCCATCCAAACGAGAAGGCAGGTAGACTTATCTCCCCTGATGAAAATGGTGTGTGGCAACTGTGAGTTAGTGACTTGATTCGTTTCACCATGGTAGAGACACAAATATGTGGTAGACACATGGTAGACATGTGGTAGAAATGGGCATGGTAGTTATGTCAGTTTTGTCAATGACACGTGGAAGACTCTGCTTTCAAATGGTCATTGTATACCAGGGCTCCAGATAAGGGCCGTATCGGCATATGTACGGATAAAAAATATGCACGATACGGTAGGAAATAATTTAGAAAACGTAGCAGATACGCACCACAGCAATGGTGTCCGGTGTTATTATCATTTACAGACGTATTTATCTGAAAAAAAGTATTGTTTTATTGTTTATTGACCTGTTTACACAAGAGTAGCAATGTTGTGGTGCATATATGAAACGAAACACAAGATTACTGATAGTCCATTAGCTTCCATTCAGTACTCTAAATGTACACTTAAGGTTTTCCAGTACTCAATATTCAACAAATAAGGAGTATGTACTCCTGATGTTGAAAAACTATCTGGAGCCCTGGTATACAGAGGATAGCGATAGAAATAGAAACAATTCAGTGTTAGACTAAGTGTGGTAGACAGGTGGCAGTGGTAGACATAGGATTGGCACATAGTCAACATTGTAGGGACATGGTAGTCATATACATGATAGACTCAGGGTATTGGTATAAACGAAGCTATCAGTGGTAGTCTCGGGGTAGTGGAAGACATATGGTAGACATATGGTAGACACAGGGTAGTATTAGACTAAATACTCAATAAATGTCTGTTTTTTTATATGTATATGCTAAATCTCATTGCATCATCATGGTAATACTATCAGAACAAGTCTAAAATGACCATAGTGAGTGTCAATCTCTGACTAGACTGGCATTTTGGAGAATTTAAAGCAATATCTGAGCAAATCAAATATTGTATCTTGTTTCAATCATCGCCGTATGTACAATGAGATGAGCCTCTTGTGGAAGCTCCAGGGTATGACTTATGTCCTATAGGTTCAATGATGGGAAGTTCTACGTGCAGGCTGTTCAACTCAAACATCGGGTGCCATCATTTGGGTTCTCTGTACAGGAGGCACCACAACCAGGCAGGTATGAACACTGATGATAGGCTGTCAAGTTCTTGTGTGTATATCTCTTTAGGCTGTCAAGTTCTTGTGTGTATATCTCTTTAGTCTGTCAAGTTCTTGTGTGTATGTCTCTTTAGGCTGTCAAGTTCTTGTGTGTATATCTCTTTAGGCTGTCAAGTTCTTGTGTGTATATCTCTTTAGGCTGTCAAGTTCTTGTGTGTATATCTCTTTAGGCTGTCAAGTTCTTGTGTGTGTCTTTAGGCTGTCATATCTTGTGTGTATAGGCTTTAGGCTGTCAAGTTCTTGTGTGTATATCTCTTTAAGGCTGTCAAGTTCTTGTGTGTATATCTCTTTTGGCTGTCAAGTTCTTGTGTGTATATCTCTTTAGGCTGTCAAGTTCTTGTGTGTATATCTCTTTAGTCTGTCAAGTTCTTGTGTGTATATCTCTTTAAGGCTGTCAAGTTCTTGTGTGTATATCTCTTTAGGCTGTCAAGTTCTTGTGTGTATATATCTTTAGTCCTGCAATACAAGAATAATTAACAAAACAGACATGGCAAATTATTCAGATAACTTTAAGAGTGACAAAATAAATACTACAACACATTTTTTTATGATAATATCACCTGCAATTGCATTTTGAAAATATGTTTGTTCCAGGTTCGATGTCCAGGCCGCCAAGGCTAGGGGAATTCCAGCTGGGCCCCTGTACTCTAAGCTCAAGTCTGGGGAAGCAGTTGTCCTCGAAGATGGAACTAAGGTATTGATGGTGTCTGACATGGCTTATAACCAGTCATAAAACGATGCTCAGTTTCTATGAGGACTGTTATACATAGAGGTGTGACGATACAGAAATTTCACGATACGATACGATACGCGATATCTTGGAACGATACGATTCGATTCGATGCATATCACGATATGCTTTCTTTAGTTATTTTCTTTAAAAAAATCATATTTTAATAGCAAGAAATATTGACATAACCGTCAATATCTAATGAAAATTAACAATTTTAAGGTCAACGATACATGTCACGATACGAAAAATGTATCGATATATTTATCGTCAGATAAAGTATCATGATTATAGATACTACAATATATCGTCACAGCTCTAGTTATACATCAGTCATGCAGCTGTTTATGCCTGTACTGAGGGTAGGAATACAGATTACAGCAGTCAATGCTTGTCATCAGAAGCAGCTGAATGAATCAGCATGGGGTTGTGGTTGGCATGTCATTGTGGTCCCATCATTGTGTCCAAAGTCTGTGGATCAGTAGTCTTCATATATTGTCTGTTTGCAACTGTTACTTACAGACCACCATCTTATTGCGGGAATGATGTTGAACGGTATTGTTAAGCAACAAACAAATAAACAAACACACATAAAAGTGAGTGAGTGAGTGAGTTTAGTTTTATGCCGCTTTTAGCAATTTTCCAGCTATATCATGGCGGGGGACACCAGAAATGGGCTTCACATATTGTACCAATGTGGGGAATTATATAAGCAACAAGTTCATCTTATGTTAAGGCTATCATCTATCCAGTTATAGTTCAGCACTCCCATTAATTTCGGGATGTATTATGATCAGTTATTCTTCACATATTATGCTGGCCCGACTTTTTGTGCAGGTAGACGCTAGTGAGGTGGTCGGACCATCACGACCTGGACGCCACATCCTGGTGATGGGGGACACTAGTGACACCTCCGAGCTGGTCAAGGTGGGGCGAGGAGCAGACGTCCTCGTACATGAAGCAACACTGGAGAACGCTTTGTGGGAGAAGTGCTTGGAGAATGGTCATTCCACTCCAGGTGAGCCTTAGATATTACGATTTTTAAGATTCATCTTCATCTTATGTAGACATGTAATGATATGAGCAGCATAAAACTAAACTCACTCTGATGAACAAGTGGTCATATTTGTTTTGTATTGCAAACTTGCCCTCATTTGTTTGTGTGTTTTGTGTGTCTCCTAGCAATGGCGGCAGAGGTGGCACAGCAGCTGGATGTAGGACAACTCATACTCACCCACTTCAGCCAGAGATACAGGCCGTTATCTTATGATGCCCAGGTTCGTATATGCAGTCAAACCACCTTATCTTTATCTCAGATTTCTCGAATCACTTGTTGTATTGAACTCCCAATCCAGTCTGGCAAACTCCTTGTGTATTTACCAATATTGTAACCAGATATGTCGAAATGGACAGGTCAAATTTTCGGTTATTCCAAAAATGAACTTCAGTCAAAAGAGATCCTGAAATTGTGTGTAAATGTGCCCGAATAAATTGTTGGTCAAGTTTTCAGTTTCTGTCTGGTCCAGGTTCTTGTCCTTACCATGTACTATGTCACCTACCTGTCCAGTGATCGTAAGATGCAACTAACAGGATATCATCATATCCCGGGTTAGAATTGGTCTTCAGTAACCTATGCTTGTTGTAAGAAGCAATGTCACATGTCATCATATCCCAATTGCGTAGATTAATGCTCATGCTGTTGATCACTGGATTGTCTGGTCCAGACTTGATTATTTACAGACTATCACCATATTGCTGGAATGTTGCTGAGTGCAGCATTAAACAACAAACAAACAAACACAAACTGACCAGTGAAAGGAGTGAACAAGTTTCAGTGTGTTCTATTTCTCCATTGTTCCAGGAAGGGGAGGACTCTGTGGTGAAGCTGCTGGAGGAGGCTGAGAATGTCCTGGGGAAGGGCAAGGTCATCTGTGCAGAAGACATGTACACCTACACAGTACCGATGAAGAAGTCTTGATACATGACTAATGACTTACCTCTGTCATAGCATGACCAGTCATCTATAAGTGATGATCTGATCCATTCTGTCTGGAGTTGGTGTCAGTGATAGTGACACAGGCATGTTGTTAGAAGGCCTCTATTGGTGATGTTTGTGATGGTGTCATGATAACACAGGCATGTATGACTGAAGATCTTTATTGGTGATGTTTGTGATTATGTCATTGGTGACACAGGCATGTATGACTGAAGGTGTCTGTTGGTGATGTTTGTGATTATGTCATTGGTGACACAGGCATGTATGACTGAAGGTCTCTGTTGGTGATGTTTGTGATTATGTCACTGGTGACACAGGCATGTATGACTGAAGGTCTCTGTTGGTGATGTTTGAGATGGTGTCACTGGTGACACAGGCATGTATGACTGAAGGTCTCTGTTGGTGATGTTTGTGATTATGTCATTGGTGACACAGGCATGTATGAGTGAGGGCCTCTATTGGTGATCTTTGAGATGTTGTCATTGATGACACAGGCATGTATGACTGAAGATCTTTATTGGTGATGTTTGTGATGTTGATTGTGCCATTCACAAATATAAGTGCACTGATTACTGATTGCTCTCAAAGTACAATTGATTGTACAAAGGCTGTTTAGTGTCATCTTCTGACAGAGATGGTGATTTGTCAGGTTGTCTTACAAGTCATTTAATCTATAGTGTTCCCCCTAGGATTCAGAAAGGACAGGGTAACTTTGTACAAAAGGGCACTTCATAATCTAAAAGGGCAGTTTGGTGAGGATTATTGAAAAAATAACAAAAAAAAGGGCAGAGCGCAAAAATCAAAGGGCAGGGCACAGCGCCCTCCTAAATGTGCCTAGGGGGAACACTAATCTACATGTATATCTTCACCTGTCACCCTTTATCATAAATTATGTCAGTCATGTTAATAAAAACCCAAACCATATTCAACATTTTAAGTGTCATTTTTCTGTAAGGAAAGTCATGCAGGGAGGGCCAAACATGACAGACGGTGGAGTTTGTCTTCATAGTGACACGTAATTCATCTGGTCTGTGTGTCTGCGTGAGCTCACTTCCCGTTATCATGGGGTACGTCGTCTATAATTCACATCAGCTACATGCGTCTACATGTACATTGTTTTGAACGGCATACAGTGAACCAGAAATGATAAGAGACGATGTTCAAAGCCAGTTTGGCCTATACTGGAATATTGCTATATCAGCATAAAACCTTACTCACTCAAATGTATTAATATATTACCTCCCCACTCATCCTGACAAGATCAACAGTGTCAAAAGTTATAATAATTATATCTAATGACCGCACAGCAGAAATTTATATGAGTTTAGCCTAAGTCAAACACCTTCTTGTTTAGCCTACCCCAGTGTTAAGATTTAAGTCAGAAATTGCCAAAACGTAAGCCTAAGCATCTCAATGAATATGACTTAAATATGAGAAAGTGAAAAGCTTTATTTTATTTCAGACTTCAGTTCTTTTATGAATACCGACCCTGGACTTTAGATGCATAATTTTTGTCGCATACATGCAGGGTATGACTCCCCAAAATATCAGCCAGACCACAGAGCTGTTTAGATGTAAAACTTGCGAGCCCTATCCAAAACTTATCTGCCCAGAAAATATCTACATATTTACATGTCTAAATTTTAAAGCGACCGTCGAGCAGGTGAATTTGAGAATCTGGCAGTCCGTGTTGAAAATAACCGGTCCAGGGTGGTCGGGCAGAAGTTATTTCGAACGCTGATACATGACACGCTGGTGATAACAGATGATCAAATTGTTTAGGTGGTCAGGCTGGTTACTTGCTTTAGTATGCCCTCAAGCCCTGACCATATGGATCAGTGCTCACAATATCAACCACTGGCTGCCACGCCGTCATGCTGGAATATTGCTTTGTGCGGTAGTGGTGGTCCGATTAATTGAAATAATCGAAGATTGGTTGCAGTGACTAAACGACCAAGCAATCGATCATGTTTTCTCATAATCGAACACAAACAATTCTGGAACATTTTTTGCATTAACAATATTTTTCACAAGGTTGGTTTTGTAAGTTACATTTCATAACCACTACAAGCTTGTTCCAAGTCATGATTGAATTTATCTTAAAGACTCAAGGAATTTTATGTTCCTAACATACTAGTTAAGTAGTAATCCTTTCAAGATGTGAAATTTGCCACCCAAAAAACCCAAAAGAACTACGTGTTTTTTCATTATGTTTTTTTTTTAACCAAAAAAAAAGAAAAAAAGGAAAATTTCATAATTGACGCTAACCAATTATTTTCGATGATTGATCGGTTGTAATGAAGCAATCATCAATTATGAGGTTTTAACCAATTCCCAACACTAGTTTGCGGTGTTGAACATCAAGCAAATCATATTGCAGTCTGCAAATAATTGCATAATAATACAAATAGTGAACTGTGATGGCGTTGGGGTTTTGATCAATTTATGAAAGATGTTTGTTAAATTGTTGATTGAAAATAAAGTTGACAAAATGTGCCATCACACTGCTATTATTATCTGTATAAGTAATTAATACCTTATATATAGTCGGGTGTGCTGCATTCTTGTTACTCGAATTCTAAATATTTGACAACAAAAATGTAACTCAAACTATTTTATTTAACAAATCGAAGGAAAGAGACAACAAAGTTCAACCAGATTTTATTGAAACATTCAGCGTGTACATTCCCGTGAATACTGTTGGTGAACAAGTTTTCCCTACCCAATAGGATTTGAATCCAACCTGTACAAAGAGGAAAGGTGAAAATGTTTTGAAACATGAAGTAAATCTCAAAAACCTGATATACTGGCCCATGGGAGTTCGGTTTGTTATGCTACGGGCATTACAAGGTGTATTAACCGCAATTGTAAAGTTGCAAAGACAGACTGAGAAGGACATAAGGTTTAATGTGTTATTATGAATATTTAACATGGAATATAGAGGATATTTGGTTTCAGCTACAGACGTGACTGTTTCACGGAGTAAAGAAGGAATATAGAGGGTATTTAGTTGCAGCTACTTACTGTCTCTCACAAAGGAAGTTCATCCGGTCTGTGCAGGGAGCGTCATTCCATTTGTAGTTAGTTGAAAGAAGCGCTAAGCAGTCCTCCGTGACGGAGCTGCCACTGCCGACGTTGTTGGGCTCCCCTGGATTCCAGTTGCTGTACTGTATATGGTCCATAGTGTTTGTCCACATCCACTCCTGGTTTACCAAGAGGTCGGACCCACCAAGCCAAATGTCCAGCGTCAGGTGACCTACAGGTATTACGAGACGGTAACAGATATTACGGTTATAACTGATTTTAAGAAAGAAGGTGAAAATTTGACATTTAGAGGATATGATGGTTTGGTGTTAGCTCGTTTTTCAAACTGAAAATATGATTGTGGAATAGAGCTTCTTACGATACATCGTAGTAGCGATAATCATGATACTTTATCTGACGATAAATATATCGATACTTTTGTTCGTATCGTGATATGTATCGTTGACCTTAAAATTGTTAATGTTCACTAGGAAATGACGGTTATGTAAAAATTTCACTGTTACTTGCTATCAAAATATACTTTTGTAAACAAAATAACTACAGATAGCATATCGTGATATGTATCGAAACGAATCGTATCGTTCCAAAATATCGCGATACGTATCGCATCGTGACATTTCCGTATCGTCACACCTCTATTGTGGAACAATACATAAGGACACTGTAGCACTGAGATCGTTTTGTTTTGAAGTTTGTGCTTCATCGTGAGTCGCCATGGTACTGAGATCGTTTCATGGAACTCTGTATTAAAAATTCAACGTTGGTTAGTCAAAGCAATACAAATTAAGTAACAAATGATAGTTTGAATCTGCGTAATCTTACCGACCCATCGATAAAGAAAGCTTACATTACACTCTGGTAAACACCACTTGTTGGTTTAATTGTTTAAGAAAATATAACACAGCAATGGTGCAATTTCAGATGCAAGGTAAGAATAAGAGGAAAATGTCGTAATGTGATTTCTTCGGTGTTCATTTTGACCAGAGACCATAATATACCGTCGCTGGGTCCCGATCCATGAAGCGATCGTTACCTTACGACCAGTCGTTTTGTCGCACGGGACCCAGGTTTGACAAAACCTACTCCTACCCATTGAAGGTAAAATCAAATTGCAGCTTATTACTATTGTGCAGTCCACTGATGTAGCTCTCGATAAAGTCCTGTTCCTGCTGGTCCGTTATCATTGCAAGTTTCCCTCCGAAGGTTTTGCAGAAGACCTGTAAAATTGACCTCCACGTTGATTTTCTGGCATAAAATGACCGAGCGAACTTTCAAACAATAATAACAATTACGTTCAAAAAGTTCACTCCAAACTGTATGATCAAGATATGCATACTGTTTTATAGAATAATCACTGTTTCCTTGATGTTCCGAAAATGGAAAATAGTAATGTTCATTTACATTGCATTGATTAACTACAATAACACAGATTAACTACTTGACAATTACACAATAAGATTGCATGGCAGATTAATTGAAATTACATTGCATGATAGATTGACTACAATAACATTGCATAGCAGATTAATTAAAACTATATTGCTTGACAGATTAAATAAAATTACATTGCATGACAGATTAACTACAATAACATTACATGGCAGATTAATTAAACACATGAAATAAAATAACTTGGAACGACAGATTAATAGTAATATGAAGGAATTGCCTGTCAGAAGAGATTAAATATACCCAAAAGGAAAGAACTGAGTGATGCTTAACTTTTCTTGAGTAGTACATGTACGTGATCTTGTTTCATTAACACGAGTGGTTATACATGTTCAGTAAAACCTTAATAGACAGGACCCTGTTAGAACGACAAACCTCCAACAGAAACGCTTACATGTACCCGTTGGGATGAAAGTTGATACCAATTATTGATGACAGCTTCTTTTATCACAAAGGAACAAGACTCCAATGATCCGTTTCTCCGGACATATGTTATTGCCGATAATTTCACCATAAAGATACCATCCCCATTAACGAAGCTACATTTAAGCTTCAATACTTGTTTTGGCATTTTCGAGTGTTATGATGCAGATGTCAGTGAAATTGGCTACACTGTCATACAGAAATCCATTGGAACCATGGTGATCAAGACCTTTTCTTACCACAGCCTCGGGCCACGTGGCCGCCAGGGGGAACATCTTGTAGCAGGACTCGCTGTAGACGGCGTACCCGGCGGGACAACTGCCGCCCTGACCTGTGGAGATACAAGTAACAGAAACTACAGAACTGAGACTACGAAGATTACTTTGAGCTACACTGTACTGTATATGCTGAGGGATTGAGGCACTGATATCCCTTTGTGAACACTGTGCTAAAGACTAAAACATCTCTTTACACTTAGATTTCTTTGAGCTACACTGTACTATATACTAAGATATTGAGGCACTGCTATCGCATTGTGAACACTGTGTTAAAGAGTAATGCATCTTAACACTTAGATTACTTTGAGGCACTGATATCGCTTTGTCAACACTCCTTAAATACATGTTAACACTTTGAGCTACACTGTTTTATAGACCGAGTCAGTCAGAATCAGCCTGACAATCTGCTTCTGTTTTGTCCTTATTAACTAGCACGAAATAGCCTAGGACCTAATATTCCTCCCTGGATCAGTCAATCTTTACACGACGATCTCTGTTGAGCCGGTTCTAATGATTTCTAAGTGCCTAATTATGCGTTAACCGAACTGAGATGCCAGTCGATATGGTACATTAAAAGTATACAGCAGAGAGATATTTTATGACAACATGTACCCACCTGTTACGAGGACAAAGGCGGAAACGAAAGCCAAATATTCTAGTACCTTCTCCATAGCTGTATACTATCTCGCTGCTCCTGGGAACACGACAGGTGGGCGATCGTCCTCGACCACAGTTTGTCGTACACTGTCTCACACGTGTATTTGAGTGAGTGGGTGAGTTTAGTTTTACACCGCTTTAGCAATAGTGTAACAATATCACGGCGGAGGGACACCAGAAATGGACTTCACACATTGTACCCATGTGGGGAATCGAACCCGGGTCTTCGGCGTGACGAGCGAACGCTTAAACCACTTGGTTACCCCACCACCCCACATGTGTATTTGAACACTGGTCACACATAAACATGTGTAATAACGTTCAACACATATACTAACTAATTGAAAATCACCGTATTTTCATGCCACGAATGATAGCTTTATCGTGGTAGGAGATTCCATGTGTTTGTTGGTTGGATGGTGAACGCCGAACTCGGAACTTTCCAGAAAAATGTTAGATTGACATGTGAATGCAGTAGCCAAGGAATAATAGAGAAAAGCGTTTGAAGCCAGTTACTGTTATCTCCCGCTTCGGTTTAGATGGAATATCGCTGAAAGCAGCGTACCTCACTCACTCAAATGTATAAAATATGACCCCCTCACGTCCTCACCCCCTCACCCTCCCGCCGGGGATCGTTGCTGACAATATCGACCACTATATTGTCAGATCAAGACTCGATTATTCACGGTTATATGGCACGAATATGTCTGGGTGAGGTGTTAAACAACAACCAATACCATAAAACCAGGTATGCTGCAGTGTCGTAACTTTATTTTCAAAGTTAAAGTAAAGAAGGATGCTTCGTTGAAGAAAAAATAGACAACAAACTTCAAACCTGATTTATTTGAAACTTGTAACAATCAAATGCTTGTGAATACGGTGTGCATGTTCTTACACAAAAGGATTTGACTCCAATCTGTGAAAACAAAACAAAAGATTAATGGTCAATAGGACGTGAAACAGGAAAATATTGTTTTGATCAAAGACTTCGTGTTTGGGTATCCTGATGTTAACAACTTTGTATTAATACATTTAGCCCTTCACCATTATTGGATTTTCTGGTTTGGTTAAGTGCCGCCGTCATGGAGGCGTTGATCTGTAAATACTTCCAACATTGATCGAACTGTGTCTGTGGTAGGGAACACCATGCTAAACCTATTGGCGATCTCCTGGTGTCATCACCGATTCCGTGGTCCATTCACCACTAGTCTGCCCAAATGAAAATTATGTGTCATGTTACGGGTAACGTAACAGCAATGGCAATGTGGCAGTGGTGTACCGTGTTACTGACATTACAAGGTGTCGTTACAGCAGGTGCACTCTGGCAGTTGTGTACCATGGTACGGACATTACAAGATGTCGTAACAGAAGGTGCAATGTGGCAGCTATGTATCATGGTACGGACATTACAAGATGTCGTAACAGAAGGTGCAATGTGGCAGCTATGTATCATGGTACGGACATTATAAGATGTCGTAACAGAAGGTGCAATGTGGCAGTTATGTACCATGGTACGGGCATTACAAGATGTCGTAACAGAAGGTGCAATGTGGCAGCTATGTACCATGGTACGGACATTACAAGATGTCGTAACAGAAGGTGCAATGTGGCAGCTATGTATCATGTTACGGCCATTACAAGATGTCGTAACAGAAGGTGCAATGTGGCAGCTATGTATCATGGTACGGACATAACAAGATGTCGTAACAGAAGGTGCAATGTGGCAGTTGTGTACCATGGTACGGACATTACAAGATGTCGTAACAGAAGGTGCAATGTGGCAGCTATGTATCATGGTACGGACATTACAAGATGTCGTAACAGAAGGTGCAATGTGGCAGCTATGTATCATGGTACGGACATTACAAGATGTCGTAACAGAAGGTGCAATGTGGCAGCTATGTATCATGGTACGGACATTATAAGATGTCGTAACAGAAGGTGCAATGTGGCAGTTATGTACCATGGTACGGGCATTACAAGATGTCGTAACAGAAGGTGCAATGTGGCAGCTATGTAGCATGGTACGGACATTACAAGATGTCGTAACAGAAGGTGCAATGTGGCAGCTATGTACCATGGTACGGACATTACAAGATGTCGTAACAGAAGGTGCAATGTGGCAGCTATGTACCATGTTATGGACATTACAAGGTGTCATTACAGCAGGTGCGTTGTGGCAGCTATTTTTAATTACCATGGTATGGACATTACAAGATGTCGTAATAGAAGTTGCAATGTGGCAGTTGTGTACATGGAATAAATAAGGTATTTGGCTTAAGTTACGGACGTTACTGTCTCAGAGAGGAAACATGGAATAAAGGGGTATTGGGTTTCAGCTTCTGGCGTTACTTACTCTCTCTCACAAAGGAAGTACATTCGGTCTGTGCAGGGAGCGTCGTTCCACTCGTAGCTATCTGAAGTCATAAGCGCCAAGCAGTCCTCCGTGACGGAGCTGCCACTGCCGGCGTTGTTGGGCTCCCCAGGTTTCCAGTTGCTGTATTGTATACGGTCCAAAGTGTTGGTCCACAGCCACTCCTGGTTCACCAAGAGGTCGGACCCACCAAGCCAAATGTCCAGCGTTAGGTGGCCTACAGGTAAAGCAACCAGACTGAGAGTGGAAATAAACGCCGCTTGGAACAGTATCTCGGTAACTGTACGACGTTGACTTCATACAGACAGTTCGGTTTAACGCATTTTGTAGACATTACGGTTACAGTTGATTTTTGGAAGAAGTTGAAATTCTATATATTTTGATGATAGAATTTGTTTGGCTTTAAGTATTCAAAACAATGTAAAGTAAACTTGATATTTTTGAATTAATAGATCGATACGAATCTCAACCTTGCATTACCAACTCTCTGGTAAACACTACTTCTTGGTTCTGTAGCTTCAGAAGAACTGTTACAAGAACAAGATGTTAATATGGTTATGTGATATCGTCGATGTTCTGTTTGACAGAACATCCTTCTTTAAGCTTTTAGTAAGGTTCACACAGTTGGTATCTTATTACTATTGTGCAGTCCATTGATGTAACCCTCGATGAAGTTCTGTTCCTGTTGGTCCGTTATCATGGCAAGTCTCCCTCCAAAGCTTCCTACAGAAAACCTGTAGAAATAAATGCTGGTTATCTGTCATCAAACGATGTTTTAAACATGTCAATAATCATTTTGTTTACCAAGTCGAGCCAAACTTATTTATGATCAAGATTTACGCACTGGGTGTTTCGAGAAAGAAAATAGTAAATTCAAATTAACTATAGTTACATGGCTAGACAGATTAACTACAGTTACCTGGCTCGACCAATTAACTATAGTTATACGTGTTATCGTTTCGAGTGTTATGATGCAATAACTGTCAGTGAAATTGGCTACAATGCCATACGGAAATCCACTGTAACCATGGTGATCTATTGATACATTTCCTTACCACAGATTCGGGCCACGTGGCCGCCAGGGGGAACATCTTGTAGCAGGACTCGCTGTAGAAGGCATACCCGTCGGGACAACTGCCACCCTGACCTGTGGAGATACAATAGGTAATGCCTCCATCTAACAGAAACTACAGACACAAATGTTGGATGATCATACATTGAAATTCATTCTTAATTTTATTTTTCGGTGAACAAATAAGAACATTTGTACAGTGTAGTTTATAGAATTTCACCATAGCAACATCTATACCATCCTCGATAATCTCCAGGGTATACGTTACGATCACTCTCCACTATACCCTGGATGCATCCACGGCTTGGCCCGATGATTTTATTACCTCTCTTGGCTGGCTTTTTGTCCAATCAGGTGTCTACGCTGGGAAGTTGAGCGAACCAATCACAAATCACTTTCGCTTCTTAAATTATCTAACCGTTTAAACTTGGCAACACAATTGATGCAGAAGTACTCTGAAAGAGGTAGAAGGAGTTCTTTTATATATTTTTTGAAAGTTTCAGATCTGTCAATTTGTCTTTATTATTTCCTAAAAATCTGAGTGGCACTGCGAACAAACCTTCGCGGCTGCGGCCGCTATCTTTCTTTGACATTGGCAAGCTCGGATGTAACGGCGGCTTAGCTGATTGCTACTGTGACAATGCGGAGCCAGCAAAGGGAGGTAATATAATTATCGCATCCAGGGTATAGAGGAGAGTGATCGTAACCTATACCCTGGGGATTATCGAGGATGCATCTATACATATATATTAGGATATATTCTTTCATGATCCTTGAGTAGGTAGTCTAAAATGATTTAGCCATTTCGCTCTTCATACTAAACATAGTGATCGATTCCCTACCAATATTGTATTTGACGCCATTAAATACATTGAAGTAGAGGCTTCCAATTTCAAACTGGTTGTATAAGTTATACATGAACGACGAACTAAACATAAAACAGTTTAATCTTGCCCTGAATGCTTGGCTTTACAATGATAACGTTGAGACAAACGACGCGGTTATGATAACCCAGATTTTTAAAAAGTGTGCTGTAAAGAAACTATATACCTTAGGGGTCATGAAGACTAACGCTCAGCCCTTGAATAGATAACACTGATAGTAATAAATAAACCCATTTAAATTGAAAATGAGCCCCAGTCAGGTGGGAGATTCAGAGGAAATCTAGACCTGCTTCATTTACAGACAGACAGACAAGTTTATTCAGTAAAAGGCCACAGGCCCATCATACAGTCATTTGCATATGATATAGATAGTTCAGTGCACATGCTGTGTAAGAGGAACATTTCTAATGCGCTGATTATTCAGGGCTTTAGCATTGGGTGGGGGCTAGGGGGAAATAATGTTGTTCAGGGACTGTGAGACAGACTAGAGGTCATGCTGCCAAATATCGATATTCAATTATACCATACAACTACAGGTATTAAATATAAAAGCTTGACGCAAGAGAAATATTAGTCTGGAATATCTGCCGAAACGTGTTACCGGCAACTGAAATAAAATGAACTGATCACTGAAAAGCAGTGATGACATCAGGTGTTAGCAGAAAAGGGTGATCACATGTTTTAATGACAAACGACATGAAACCATCACGCACGCCAATAAACACAATTAAGCTCTACATGCAGTTGTTAATCGGTATACCATTGTGAGATATCATTGCATTGACACCTGTTTATTTCAAACACTGCTTTCCTTTAGTCTCCAGGCACACTAAAGCATAATAAAGGGTCATGTTGTGGAAGGGTGTTCTTCCGATGGCGACACTGTAACACATTCAGACTACATTGTTAAGCACTGACAAGGAAGATCCAGGGGCAGATACAGCTTTTTGAGAAAAGGGGGTGCACAGTTCATCTATATTTACCCGCTTCCCATCTCTCTCTCTCTCTCTGAGAAAGGGGGCTGCACAGTTCATCTTTATTTACCTGCTTCCACGAGAGCCCCCCCCCTCTCTCTCTCTCTCTCTCTCTCTCTCTCTCTCTCTCTCTCTCTCTCTCTCTCTCTTGAAGTCTACTTGAGGAAAGTTTGCTACACACTGAGACATTGTATCACTGTGTCGTTTTGTCAACACTACACAACAAACTGAGACTAAGAGATTAATTTTAGCTAAGCTGTTCTTTAGTGTTACTAAGGAATGATTGATTGAGTTTAGTTTTACGCCTCACTCAGCACTATTTCAGCTATATGGCGACGGTCTGTGATAATCGAGTCTAGACCAGACAACCAAGTGATTAACAGCATGAGCATCGATCTACACAAGTGGGATACGATGACATGTGTCAACCAAGTCAGCGAGCCTGACCACCCGATCCCGATAGTCGCCTCTTACGCAAAGCATGGGCTACTGAAGATCAATTCTAACCCGGATCTTCATGGGTTCACTAAGAATGAATAACTGTCTCTGTTCTGGCCTTTTTGACCAGCGTGTATTTTTCTCTGGATCAGTCAGTCTTCGCGCTACGATAAATTTGTTCAACCGATTCTGATGCTTTCGATGTGCCTAATTAGGTGTCCACCGAATTTAAGCGTCAATCATATATAGCACAGTGGAACTATGCAGTAGAGAGTCAATTAAATGACGGTATTTACCCACCTGTTACGAGGACAAAGGCGGAAACGAAAGCCAAATACTCTAGTACCTTCTCCATAGCTGTATACTATCTCTGCTCCTGGGAACACGACATGTGGGCGAGCGTCCTCGAGCACATTTAGATATGCAATCATAAATAACTAATCTTAAGTCAGCGCATTTTCATGCAATGGTCGCTTTATCGTGGTAGGAGATTCCATGTGTTGGATGGTTGGATGGTAAAGGCCGCACTCGGAACTTTCCTTTCCAGTGGTCTCTGAGAAGGGAAAAAGGCTGTTAACGCCTTGGGCAAGGGGCACAGTGTACAAAAGGTTTTACAATGTGCTTTCTGGAAGATGGTGCACTTCCGGCAAAGCCGTTAAGATCCGGGTTAGAATTGGTCTTCAGTAACCCATGCTTGTCGTAAGAGGCGACTCCCTGGATCGGGTGGTGAGGCTCGCTGACTTGGTTGACACGTGTCATCGTATCCCAAATACGTAGATCAATGCTCATGTTGTTGATCACTGGAATGTAACAGTAAAAGTAGCAATGGGATGTTCATTGAACGTGTACATTTAGACAGCAATAACACAGCATTCCATGGAAAACATTCCATGGAAAGCAAGCTTCATGCATGGAGAGTGGACATGTAAAGATATTACATGAAACTTTGGTAGGGGTGGGGCAGTCCTGACACGTAATGAGAATTAAGCTGTTGTGGGAATGTAGAAACGAAACTCTCCTCGTCTCGACTGCGGCTAATTCATGTAAGTTTCAAACATTAATCATTTGTCACCGTTCGGCTGTTTCCGTAACCGCTCGGTTTTGTTCCGAAAGAGTACCACTGACTGAAATGGCACACTGTACAACGTATGAACTGCTCTGAAAACAATGGCCGGCAGAGGATGACTGTAAAGACACCTTTTCCTGGAATTCTGGTTAGCACAGATTTAATCAAAGGTGCTGGATATAGACGTTTTTCATACTGAAATCGAAGTTTACATTTTGATGTTTAAGCCGTTACCTGTCAGTTGTGAATAATGCTGTTGTATATAATATTATAAACATATATCTATAATATTATATTTTGTATAACTTTTATAGAATTTATCTACTTCAAATGCTTCGATATATACCTTTTATGTGGTAGTATGATTTATAAACTCATTTAAGTGTCATTTTGTTTTCTTTACAGGTATTTTGTGGTAAGTACTAGTGTACTTTGGTTCATAAGCAAGTTCAAACTTTCAAACTTTCCAGCTTCATATTTTCAATTAGTAATTTTTATTTTTAAAGTTAAATGTTTTAAGAATCATGTAAAAGAACAGAATCGTTTGAAATATGTTATATAACCAACACTAACCTATTTATGACCACTTCCACAAGGATAGCATATGTAATACAGACGTCCTTCAATATTGTTGTTCAATATAAAGTCAGATCATGGGGGTATAGTTTCTATCTCAGTTTAAACATATTCACATTCAGAATCACTTCATTAATTACGTAAACCGCTGGTATAAATCACAATACTATTTCACGTAATTTATTAGCTTTACAATGTTCTTCCATGGTGTAGACTAACATATATGTATAGGTGTACCTGTCCAGCAATGACGTTACATTGTATTTGAAGTGACTATAGCAGTGAATGGGCTCAGCCCAGTCTCAAATAACGCTATATTGTTTACAGTTATTTATTGGTTTCCTTAGCCTCAGACAATAGGGAAATTTATGTATTTCTGAGTACACGGCATTCCCGGCAGGCCTTAAGTGAATACCTCTGTTGTAAAGCGCTGGCGTTTATTGTGTGAATTGGAAATGAGGTGAAGTTTAATGGGATTTAAATACGCTTCCAGAAGTAAACGGGTGTGAAACAGAGAGGGAAAATGAGTGTGCGTGTGTGCTTGCGCGCGTGCGTATGTGTGTGCATACGTGTTCAGACTAATGGCTGCTTTGTAGTGCTATCCGACTGAGATACCATGGTACGGTTGTTAACATAACTCCCGTTCTTGTTTCTATTGCCGAGCGGGTATCAACAAGAATCATCTATTGACGTCTTTCGGTATGAGGTGAGGTGAGGTGAAATTGGATTTAACGTCGTGCTTGAGAATATTTCGCTCATATGACGACGTGCATGCGTGTGTGTGTGTACGTGCGGCTGCTTGTACTAGCCCAGACTGAAGCTGGTTTTATAGTGCTAGCCCACTGAGATACCATGCCGCAGTGAAGCATGGATACCCCACTCAGACACATTATACTGACTCCGAGCCGACCAGTCCTTGTTGTACCCATTAATGCCGAGCACCAGGCAGGGACCAACAAGTACCATATTTTACCGTCTTTTCGTCTTTCGGTATGATACTACCGAGGATCGACCCATACACCTTGACGCTCTCGGGCAGGCACTCTATTCACTATACTATGTAGACTGCCTGCTTGGCGTAAAAGCCGACTCATATTGAGTATTGGGTGTCAGGCTTTGTTGATTTTATGTCACCGTACCCAGATGACGTGGACTGTTGACCATACCACGTCCTGACCGGCTGTTTACAAGACTCCGTTGTACAGGTTGTATATTGGCAGTGGGTAGCGTTATTAGTATGAGTATGACAGAAACAACAATGATAATAATGATTAAAGTTTAAAAACGATTATGATATCAATTTTAGTTTTTATATATAGTGTTGTTTGTAGAAATTGTTGATTAAATCTACTGGAAATAACTTTTAAGAATTAGAAAATGAATGGTATAGTAATTCTTTCTATCTGAGTAGATGACTGACTGAGTTTGGTTTTACGCCGCTTTTAGCAATATTCCAGCAACATCACGGCGGACTCTGAGTAGATGAGATGAACCAGGTGATATTGTGTATAGTATATGGCATGTACTCTTTCTTGATAAACTGAATCAGTAGTTATTTGTGTCGAATAGGAGTATAGATAGATAAATAGATAGATAGATAGATAGATACATAGATACATAGATACATAGATACATACATACATACATACATACATACATACATACATACATACATACATACATACATATATACATACATATTCTGCAAAGCAAGATGGTACATTTTTCAAATTTTGGATTGAAAAAACTAACATTCATGTGCAGGCAACAGTCAATGATGCTTTTCCGGGATTCGGAAATCCATTTGATCTACATGTAATTTTCAAAAATTCAGATGTCAGCACTACGTACCATTCGTTTTATAATGCTAAACAATTTCGCTGTGTACAATGTATTATTAAATACAAAACCGATTCGGGGTGGTAATTGCGCAGGACAATCCAAATGCTCGAAAAGATCCGCCATTTTTATCAAAAGCGGATTTACTGAGACACGACTTATGTTGACCATATATTTCTATAAACGTATCAACTCTGACCTTATTTTCCATCCACAGTCATGATGGACCGTCATTTTGGGTTGATGTAGGGGTGGACGTCGGCTACGCCGCTCTCATCACCGTCTGCTTGCTCATCATGGCGTGCGTCCTTGCCATCGCAGCCTGCTACGTCTGTTCATCACAACGTGCAGGAGCACGGGTTGTACACTTCAACGCTGCTAACCAAGGTAGTGGATGTTCTCTGTTGAAATAAAAGTGATAAAACACAATTACACACCCATAATAAATGTGTACGAAAAGTCATTTTTATTCATCGCTTATCATAAAATAAAATGTGCCGTACATAAAAAAGGCTGTTCTCAACAGAATGACTTTCAGCATTCGGAATTGTTCAGTTTAATCCGTTAGTCACGTAATGGAAAAACGAGATGCCGTAATATATTATTCAAATGCCGACAACCTGTTTGGGAAAAGCTGTTTCTGATATTAATGGTTTGGTATACAATTTGAGCACATACAACAGAGCTTAATGTGAGCATTATTCATGAAAGGGTGAAAAGTGCTGTCAAATGATGTTGTGTAATATGATACTCACCTGAAATGGTGAAACTAGTAAATAGAGTTGCAATATGGATATATCCTATCACCGTCGGTACCAAGTAAGGGAGATTATCCCCTCAAACGTGAATCTCTGAGAGCCGAGGGCGTTTTGAATGTTACCCTCAACTACCCATGTCTGTTACGAGTGACTAGGGATTGTCGTTACAAGGTTAAGGTACATATTAAACATGATTTATCTCAGATATTATTTCGGCTCGAACACCATGTTAACTGCCTATGTTGTCTGCCATATAGTTCTGGTTCAGACTCTCTCCCGACCTCCGTGGACGCTGACCGTGACCTCTGACCCGGAACTCTCCATCCACGGATTTGCCTTTGCTGGTCAAGGCATCACGATTGTCGACAGTAACACCCTAGAACGTAACCGTACCAGACGCCCAGTAACAGTTGGCGCCAAATGGTCACGTGGGGTGTCACATGGTAAGCACGTGTACGAGGTCATCTGGCCGGAAGTCCACAGAGGAGTGTCAGCGTCAGTAGGTGTGGGTACAGCAACGACGCCATTGTTCATCAAGGGCAAGGTCACCCTGGTTGGCATGACAGAGGCTTCGTGGGGACTGGACATCGCCAAGAAGACAATGTTTCACAACTCAGCGCCAGGGAGGAGGTGTCCGCCAAACGAAGAAGACGTCATCCCAGAGAGATTTTTCATGTATGTTGACATGGACCGTGGTGAGCTGGGCTTCGGGTCCAGTAGCAAGTACTGGGGTGTGATGGCTGAAAACATCCACTACCTGAATCAGCCCCTGTATGTGATGGTTGGTGCCAACGTGTCCAAGGCCCGATTGCAAGTCTTCTACAGAGGTTCTGGTGAGGCCATGTTTAGGACTGATGTCGCAGATAATCCTTATTGATGATGTCAGATCTAATGAAACTCGGTCAATATATTGGGAATCGGTATCAATAAAATTCAGATTTTTTACCGTCCTACGATGTCTGTGTGCGTTAAAAGGGACGGTGGGATAGACAAATGGTTAAAGCGACCGCTCCTTACGTTAAAGACCCGGGTTCGATTTCCCACATAGCTACACAGTGTGAAGCCCGTTTCTGGTGTCGCTGGAACATTGCTAAAAGCGACGTAAAACCATACTCACTCACTCACTCACTGTAATTTCAGACCTGAGAAAAAATATGAAGGTGGGAAGTATGACATAATACTCTAACTGGAGGATGCTTTGATAATTTCATTTCTAAATTACCTTTATTTGGAAATCTCGATTTTAACAACTAAAAGAAGTGACGAAACACTTTCCGCATCCATATGAAATCTATGCTAAAATCCGTGTCAATTACTCATACACGCCACGAATGTCTTCGGTGGTACTCTGGTTTGAATATAGATTCAACAGAGCTACAGGGTGAGATCAACAACTATAACAGCGTCCCTTTCTTATATAGATTCAGTTAAGGTGGAGTGAGCTTTTTTAAACAAAAGACAGATGTCTTAGTATGAATGCAACATTCACCCTTCTTGGAAGTTAACAGCCCCATCGGTTGACCTCCCATGAGGGTGACCTCACATCTTCCAGAGGTATCATATCGGTGTACCAGATCTGATGTATCGAGTCTGGACGTCGGGTGGGAAAACATCCTACCCCGTGATAAGGTGATCGTAACTCCAATGCCTTATCATAGACGTACGACAGTCTTCGCCTAAGGTCGTTTTGTACAACAGCACCCGGGGATAGAATGTTTTATCGTTTCTTTCTCTCCACAGCTATGTCGAGTGCGATGCGTAACCCAACTGCTGCAGCAATGACGACATCGACTCCTCCATCATGTTCCAACCCCGACCGTATGAAGCCCGAAGACCTAAATCTACATAAGCGAGCCCTGTATCAGGCTACAGCACTGCGTGAGTTGTGACAGTTTCCTCACCTGACTATGGAATATTGTAAGGGACATTCTCGCGTTCTCGCGATCTGACTGTTCAAGACATTAACGCCAGTAATTTTATGATGCAGCTTACGTTATGATAAAAGAAAACTCAAGTCTTGATAATGATATTTCGTCAGATCAACTATAATATATATTTTTTTAAGAGCATTGTTAAAATTGGTGTTCAGGAACCCATGCTTGTCCTAAGAATTGACCAACAGGATCGGGTGGTCAGGCTCGCTGACTTGATTGACATATGTCATCGTATCCCAAATGCGTAGATCGATGTTCATGATGTTGATCACTGGATTGTCCGGTACGGACTCGATTTTTTCCAGACCGCCACCATTTTGCTGGAATATTGCTGAGTGTGGCGATGATCAACAAACAAGCAAACAAACAAAAACAGTAGCATCTCTGCACTGCACACATCCGAACAACTAACATCTCGCTTTTACTTTTAACAAATTAGGCAAATGTAGTGTCTCGTCACCTGATTGTATGGTCCATGACTTATCTGTCTGGTGAGTTCTTGAATGTTTACAGAAATCGCATGGAGGGAGTAATGCTGCGCGTTGCGTAGCAACAAATACTTATTCACGCAAAAAAGTGTTATTAAATTAATTAGAGTCGGATGCTACCGGTACGACAGGCTTCCGTTTCGGTGGAGACACTGTTGATAGCAAATTGAGATTATCACAAATATTCAATTCAACAAAACTGACAAGATATACCAATGCCAAAAATGGTTGTCACCCCCTTCAATTTTATTAATAGGCTGGGGTGACAACCATTATTGGCATGAGTATATTTGACATTTTGCCATGTACATGTTCACAGGACGTGCACGTGCTCAAGCTTGGACTCACGACTCGGACAACGAGGGCACTGGACCTGAGGACGCCACGTTCCAGCTTCCTCTCTCTCCACCCCCTCCGTACTCCAGATTCTGATTCAAGTGCGACAGTCTCAGGATACATTCATAACCAGTGTCAACATAAAGTAACGTTTAGCGTAGGCTTGCTTCTGATGAACTGTTTAACACTCATGAAATATTTCAAACACACCATGCCCCTTTCATCGGTTACACTGACAGTTTTTGTCCTGGCCAAATAACACTGTTAGCACAAATCAGACGTTCATTATCACCTGGGGCGGTGGTGTAGCCTAGTGGTTAAAGCGTTCACTCGTCACGCCGAAGACCCGGGTTCCATTCCCCACATGGGTACAATGTGTGAAGCCCATTTCTGGTGTCCCCCGCCGTGATATTGGTTGGATATTGCTCAAAACGGCGTAAAGATAAAACTCACTCACTCGTTACCACCTGCATGTGCACAAATTGATTCAGTTACAAATATTGGTTAGTTTTGTGCACCCGTACCTGACATGAATACATTTTCTCAGATGTTCCAGGTACATGTATCCATATATCTGTATGCCACCCAAATCTTTCTTATCCAACAAGTATTGAATTTTGTGAGCACAAATGTGAATACAAGGTTGATGATCATGATGACCGAAAGTAGCCCTTTCAAGTTTTCTACACATAAATATACTGAGTCTCTTTAAAAAGTAGGGGAACTTCATTTTTTAGTTACGATTGAAAACATTGGCAGATATATCAAGTCAATCAATGTTGATATGATAATAATGAATGTTGTTTGTACAGTTATCGCTCTTGAACGATGACTGGTATATGACTGGTATATAGTGTATAGAACACTTACAACTTTGTGATGCAAGATGATTGTCAAAATAAATGGTCGACAGGGATTTATCGACCTTCTTGAAAAACGTCAAAATCAAGAATGACAACCCGTGTACGTGTATGGGGCTACTGTGTTGTGCACGTGCATACCATGCATTGTGTGTAGGGTGGTGATAAAGAGAAATGTGGTGCGTTCATAAGATGTCTGTCTTGAAAGGTTGTTGAAACTTATACTTCCTATCCAAATTGAAAATTCAGGTTCCCCTACGTATTTTGTAGAGTATATTTACAGTTCCTTAGTTTGTATCTAAATACAGCATGAAATCTCTTGCAGTGGATAATGATATAGTCTGAGATATTCTCTTTGTCTTTTGGCTTCTGTAGTGTCTCTGTTTGGTCCTTTAGTAGACTGACTGACTGACTGAGTTTGGTTTTACGCCGCTTTTAGCAATATTCCAGCAATATCACGGCGGGGGACACCAGAAATGGGCTTCACACATGGTACCCATGTGGGGATTCGAACCCGGGTCTTCAACGTGACGAGCCAACGCTTTAACCACTAGACTACCCCACCGCCCCTCCTTTAGTAGAAGTAACTTCATGCATGTTGGCATGCTGCCTCCTTCCCCTGGGATGATATTTTGGTCAACATCCTCCTGATCTAGGTCGGCGTCATGCACACCTGGATATCTTATCCTCATGATGTTATGTAAACACACTGCTGCCTCAACCATGCCCCTCACTACGTCTGGGCCCTGTTGCAAAGTTGTTAGGAGCGCCTGCCATAAGTTTGAAAAGTGACCACAGTGTCATGATAACCTTGAAAATAAGGTCACCCGAATCGACTGGTGTGTGTGTAATCCCCAAATGTAGGCTATCACTAAATCTGTAACAAGAATCGGGACGGTCGGAGGAACGCTGCTGAATACATAGTTCCCCGTTCCGCGGGGACAACAACAAACAAACAAAACAAACAAACAAACCTCATGTAGCCATAACCTGAAATAACACTAAACTAAAGAACATATTTTCTAATTTAGTTTTTATTCTTAAATGGTTCATTGCTAAGTGTGATAGATGCACTTACATCTCGAACATTAAAGTAAATGATTGCACACATTTCCCTATGAGTGAGTGAGTTTAGTTTTACGCCGCACTCAGCAATATTCCAGCTATATGGCGGCGGTCTGTAAATAATCGAGTCTGGACCAGACAATCCAGTGATCAATAGCATGAGCATCGATCAACGCTATTGGGAACCGATGGCATGTGTCAACCTAGTCAGCGAGCCTGACCACCAGATCCCGTTAGTCGCCTCTTACGACAAGCATGGGTTACTGAAGGTTCATTCTAACCCGGATCTTCACGGGTACATTTCCCTATGAAGCTGTACAACTGATTGATGCATAATATTTCAAATCACATGTTGATACATTACTGTGTGCGACCCAAATGCCCATAAAACTATGAATTGTTCTTCGTTGGGACGCTTGTTGGTTTTTATATCATCCCATGTACTTTGTTTGTGGAAAGTGGCTGTTTTGTCGTTTTGTCCACAAGAAAGTTTATTTGTTGTTTAGCTGAACAAATAAATCAATCCTGAAACGAAACATATTGTTTATACGGCATGTTGTAATTTGCTTTGTATTGACTGCACACACCACACCCCTCAACCCGTCTTCCCACACCCCATGACCCGTCATCCCACACCCCCGTCACCCGTCATCCCACACCCCGTCATCCCAGTTCCAACACCCCGTCACCCGTCATCCCACACACCCGTCACCCGTCATCCCACACACCCGTCACCCCAAACCCCGTCACCTAACTTCCCACGTCCCAAACCCCGTCAACTGTCATCCCATCCCCCGTCACCCGACACCTCCGTCACCCGTCATCCCAAACCCCGTCACCCGTCATCCCATCCCCCGTCACCCCACACCCCTTTACCCGTCATCCCATCCCCGTCACCCGATATCCCACACCCCGTCATCTGTCATCGCATTCCCCGTCACCTGTCATCCAACACCGCGTCACATGTCATCCCAAACCCCATCCCCCGTCACCTATCATCCCATCCCCCGTCACCTGTCATCCCACACCGCGTCACATGTCATCCTACACCTCGTCACCCGTCATCCCATCCCATCCCCGTCACCCATCATCCCACACCGCGTCACATGTCATCCTACACCCCGTCACCGATCATCCCATCTCAAGTCACCCGTCATTCCACACCCCGTCACCAGTCATCCCACACCCCTTCGCTCGTTATCCCACACCCCGTCACCCATCATCCCATCCCCCGTCACCCGTCATCCGACACCCTATCACATGTCATCCCATCACCCATCATCCCTTCCATCGTCACCCCATCTACCGTCATCTCACACCCAACCCCCGTCACCCGTCATCCCACACCCCGTCACTCGTCATCCCAACCCCCGTCACCCGTCATCCCACCCCCGTCACCTGTCATCCCACACCCCGTCACCCGTCATCCCACACCCCGTCACCCGTCATGCCATCCCCCATTACCTGTCATCCCACACCCCGTAACCCGTCATCCCACACCACGTCACCGGTCATCCCGCACCCTTTCACTCGTCATCCCACACCCCGTCACCCGTCATCCCATCACCCGTCACCCGTCATCCCACACCCCATCATATGTCATCTCGCACCTGTCATCCCTTCCCTCGTCACCCGTCATCTCACACCCCCGTCACCAGTCATCCCAAACCCCATCACCCGTCATCTCACAACCAACCCCCGTCACCAGTCTTTCCATCCCCCGCCACCCGTCATCCAACCCCCCGTCACCAACCATCCCACTCCCTTACTCCATCGCCAAACGCCCTGTCAGCCGTCACCACATTCCCCTCACCCAACGACCCGTCATCCCACACCCTTCACCCAGTCACCCGTTATCAGCCACCTTTCACCCCATCCTCCTACACCCCATCATTCCACATCCCAACACTCACTCTGGCAACCTACTCATTTGTCCCGACCGTTAGGCCAGGGGATTTAGATCCCCAAAAGGGGGAACCCAAAACAAATTACAACAGAAACAAATTGTTTTGTTTCAAACTCAGACATGCCTGATTAATCACATGCTAAAAAATCTGAAGACCTCAAAATTAAGGTTAATTATTAACATAGCTATATTTTAATTTATTTTAAATGAAATATCCCAAGAACAGTAGTATTGTGTGCTGGCGAATACGTGCCTGACTATGAGGGTGTGGGTTCGAATCTCGGATGGGACTCAACCCAACAAAACTACTAGAATCTGTACTTTACTAAGAAAGTGTAATCCCAAACATAACATATGTTACAGTAACATGGGTGCTTGTTGATTGAACAGGAGCGCCATGTTGATCTCTTTGTTTTGCTGAAGGTGCTGTAGGCGCTGAAGCCGGTAGGGCCATGGCTGCTTCTTCTCGCTAGGTAACTGAAACAATTGTGGGAATGGAACACTGCTATTTCTTGTAAACAGACAAATAAATTACAACCATTCATCACATTGCATTTAATAAACGTCATAAATGATCCCTTCATCTGGCCTCGACATGCTCGAGGATATACATGGCCAGGTGCCCATGTGCATCCTCATGTACAGGAAGTTGTGGCAAGTACCACCTGTAGCACTTAGGCATTGTCTCTGTGTAATCAGCCCAACTCTAGGTCAATAAATGTTAGTAGACTTAAACAATATGTTGGTTGTCGTGAATAAGAATCGCTAGTACTACCTACCAGTAAGCGCTTTAATCAAGCAGAATGTTAGTCACCTGCGAAGCACTGGTTTTCTAGATGAGGATTTGCGATTCATTTCGATGCTACATCCTGAGCACTATTACACGTCATCTGGCTGTAGCTGGGGATGACGGACTCGCAGTTGGACTCGTAAGAGTTGGACTCGCAGCTCCATCTGCCGTCTGACTCCAAGAGTTGGACTCGCAGCTCCATCTGGCGCCGGACTCCAAGAGTTGGACTCGCAGCTCCATCTGGCGCCGGACTCCAAGAGTTGGACTCGCAGCTCCATCTGGCGCCTGACTCCAAGAGTTGGACTCGCAGCACCATCTGGCGCCTGACTCCAAGAGTTGGTCATCAGATGGCGCTTCCATCGCTCCTCCCAGAGTCAGATGGCTCCAGTCAACGCGTCCAGAACCATTCGGTTCCAGTGACCGTTGACAGAACACAGGACAGTGTGGGCAATCCAGTACTCATACTTCGATATCTCTGGCGCGGGTGGCCTTCTTTGGCTCCCAGGAACCCAGACAGGTCTCAGAACCCGCCACGGCCAACACCTCTCCTGGCTGACACTGGTAATGAGTGCGAATGTCTGCTAGACATTTGCGGGAGATGAACTGAGAATGTTTAAAACCCCATCGACATGGATGGTGAAGCTGATGAAGTTCAGACTCCTGCAACAGATAAACTCAAATATAATCCAATCAGAATTTAGCCGGTACGAATGAATGTGTCGGTACAATGAGCTCTGTATGAAGTTGATGTGGTTGCACAACTGAACACTGGTTCCTGATTTGGACTGGTTAATGTTATTTAGTCAGGTACCTCAATGTCATCCACCTAACCCGCTCAGCCAACGCGGCTTCCACAAAAATGGAAGTCTGACAACTGGTAGTCTGGACCACGGACTTTGTGTACCCCTCTGATAAGTGTAAATTGGCACGGTTCCCACGGCCGAAAGCTATGAATACACAATGTGTGCTGGCGATTAGGATGTGGGTTCGAATCCCGGATGGGACTCAACCCAACAAAAGTACAAGAATCTGTACTTTACTGAGGAATCCCAAAATATGACATATATTACATTTTAACACTTCCTAAATGGCATTGTATATTGAGTATTCCATGCTAGTAACTCACCGTCCGTTCCTGTACAAAACCTATGCATCGTGCATTATATCCAAACACGACCATCCGAAAGTGACCGACAAGGGCAGATAACTCTTCACCTTCGACACGCTCTGTTGCGTCTGTATCTGCTGGACGTTCCTCGAACTCGAAACTCCAATTTTAACCAGACTATTGGCACTCATCATGGATTTT